TTTTTCAGAACTCGTACAAGCTCCGTGATGTCTTGATCAGAAAGTTTGCTGCCATTACGCCGATTCAGCCCAAAAAGAAAAAGAAAAATAAAAAAAATAAAAAAATAATAATCGGGATGCGTGGCACAAGAGTGCACCCCTACTTAACCCTTTCTTTTTCTGCCGGGCTGGAGTTCGTGCCGATGCCTTCTTTAACGCCCCCGAGCGGGCGGGGCATGTATCAGGGGCAGGTAACCCGAGTCGGCGGTCAGAGGGGCCAGTGGCGGTGTCCACAGACAGAATCTACACACAGTAGCTTCCCCTGTTTGTTGGTACTGAGACGGGCGTACGTGGGGAGGGGAAATAAACACTGGCCTTGTGGTGGCGAGGTGAGCGGAGGGGAGGGGGAGGGGAGAAAGGGAGAGGAGGTGAGGAGGGAGGGAGGAGGGGGTGAGAGAGGTAAGGGTGGATTTTTCTTAAAATTTCTTATTCATAGGTTTGCTTTGTAGGGTCTTTTTCTGATTTACTTTCTTGGGAAAGGGACTCGCTCTCATATGACCTTATGCAGTTGCGAGCGCCGTAAAAGCTCTACTAAAACAACTCTGGGAAAGGGAGGAGAGAAAATGGGAAAGCTGGCAGGACATTGGCCGGTTCACTACCGGTAGGAGAGAAGGAGGAGAGAAGACAAAACTGAGCCAAGCCTAGAGCTATCGAGGGTACTCAGACATCGTCCCAACAGGTACTGTGTTAAACACTTAGCAGCTCTCCCCTAAAGACAAAACGAGAAAACGTGCGTGTGTGTGGGGAGGGGGGGGGGGGACGGAAGGGAGGGACAGAGATGCATTTTGGCTATTTTGTTTTTTGTATTTACAGATTTTTTTTGTTTATCTGGCTCTCTTAGATTTCATGTTTTCATTGCGCTGACAAGACGTTTGTCTCACCTCTGAAGAGATTGTTTTAGATACAAAAAATTATATAAGCAAAAGAGTAGGTCAACTTGGTTTGTAGATTTATAATGTTTTTACCATATTGCGATGTGCATTTTTTTTTTTAGGTGAAAAAGGATTTGCCTGATCTTCTAACCTTCTAATTTTCCTATTGATCAATTTCTTTTCCTCCAGGAAATTCCCGGCAGTGACAAAAGGGTTATGGCCCCGGAGTCGTTGTTCCAGGAGCAACAACAGCAGCTGTTGAAGATCCAGCTACAGCAACAGCAGAAGCTAGCCCAGAAGGCGCAAAATGAGGAGGGCGTGCCACGGCCAAACGCCTCACCGGTGCTAGATGGGGAGATGGAGGCCAAACAGAAGGAGGCTCTGGCAAGGTGAGATCTTCACTATTACTGGACCTTAGATGTATATTCTTTTGGCCTAGACTGTGCACTTTGACGTTCATCTGGTTCAGAATGGAGCACACCATTTGACTCAATTTGGACCCAAATGAAAGTCAAGGGGTGGGATAGTGCTGCATGCTCTCAACTAATGTGAGACTTTAGTATTTGGAAAAGTAGCAGGCAGCTCTGGAAGTTGCTGAGAACAGACCTGCCACTCATCCCGATTTAGTCGGGATATCCCGATTTTTTGCTCCAAATTTCAAGCATCCTGATTTTCCCGATTTCGATCGCGTGTATCCCGATTTTTTGTCCTAGTCTGCTATTGTGTCGGATTTTTATTAATACGTACTCTGCCTTCTCCTTTATCGCGGGAAGCACCCGTCAAACTTTTTGTCAGTAGGAACTCGGAGCACTATTTCCCGAAATATCGATGCCGCAATTAGTAGTTGACTCGCCCCAAGTTGTGTGATCTTTGCCTGCACTCAGAATTCTCCGATGATAGCCTGGTAACTGTTGTTACAATTTGGGACATACAAATAATCGAGAATATTCGTAGTTCCGCTGCTACTTTCAAAACAAGCCTTGTCCGAGGTCTGGTAACTGTGCGTTCACACCAAACACTCGGACGAGCGACTGTCTTTCTAACCCTTACACAACTACATGTAACTGCGCTGACAAGACAAACATACGGCCAATGTCGTTGCTTTAGTCTGAACGCATTATGAGGGATAAGAGATTTGTTGGTACAATTGGTCGGTCGGCCGCTGTTGTTATCCAAGAGTACTAGAAGTGGAACGACTGTCGCTCATCTGAGAGTTTTCTGTGAACGCGCAGTTAGTCGGACCCGTTGATAAAATTGTTTCAATCGCGCATTCACGTCACGTGACATGGCATCGCTGTGTGAGTTCTGCGTGTCGGGGACCATCCGTTGTCGGGGTCAACTTAAGTTCATGTATTTCGGGACTTGTTGGTTGGGATGGGGGGGATATAGACACTTGGACTAGGAGTGCTTGACGTGATGCTTCAGGATTTACAAAAAATAATGATAACTCGCACGCATGCGCGCGCGCGCACACACACACACACACACACACACACACACACACGTGCGCGCGCGCACACAAACAAATAAAAACACTCAGGGGGCATATAGGCCAAGTAATTTATGGACACCCCTGGAAAAATTCGAAGTCAGCTTTGGCAGTCACCTTGGTGATTTGCTGTTGATACCGATTTTTTTCATCAAATCCCGATTTTTTCTCCATGAGATCCTGATTTTGAGGTTTCATAGAGTTGCAGGTCTGTGAGAACGAGAGGAGCTTTCTAATGCAAGGAATGCCCAGTCAAAAGATATTGATTTTATCTGTTTTAGCACCTATAAATGGCAGCTTGCCCTGTATGCTTCCCAGGAAGTTGAGATTGTTTCAGAATGCTATCAAGTCTGCTGGGGTAATAATATAGATTGTAAACCACAGAGCTTGCTGTTGAGCAGGAATTTGCACTGAAAAAATGCTATGTGTTATTATTATTTGTTTCTCATTTCACATTCTCCTTCTTTCCCAGACTCCTGGCGTTACAGCAGCAGATGGTGGGTGGGGAGAATGCAGACAACGAACAGTTTAAGGAAGCTCATGACAAGAAAATGCAGCATGCTGAAGACATCAGGCAAAAACTGGACAGTAAGTTTCACTTTCATAGTCATAGTCGCCTTCCAAATAGCTATAACATAGAGCTTTCAGATTGCTTTTAATGAATGTTGTTCAAATTGAATCGAAGTACATCAATCTGTTTCCTGATTTTATTCTTTAAAAAATCGTGATGTAAGGCACATTTTCAGTATATTGTGGAAAGCTTTTTTCAAAACAAAATTAGGTTTATGTTAATACTTCATATTGAAATGGGTCTGAATTAAAATGTAATAAGAAATGATCTAGCCTTTTTTTTAAAATTTCGAACATCTGTTCTTCCTACTGAGCAAAGATATGTATTTGTTCTTAGCAGAAAAGAACATGAATATGTATTCAAGATTCATCTGTCGCAATGCTATAGTTGTAAAAACTATATTTCTTTCTGTTCAGAGGCTAACAAGAAAATGGAAGATGATGGCATAGTGCTCAACATCTTTGACAATGTGCAGGATGAAATCAAAGCAAAGAACCAAGTTCTGGAAGAGAGGAAGCAGCGGGTGAGTGGTTGCTAGGAATACAAGGGGTGTGTGATGCTGTGTCTATTGTCATTAAAATTTCTTGTAAAATTAATATGTGTCTCGACGGGGTGGAATCAGGCGCTCGTCAATTTTTGGGCATATGGAGTTATTGGTATCATCTGAAAGCTGATTTATTCGCCTTGTTTCCAATGAAATAAATATCATCTGTCTTGAATAGAACTCAAGATATTTGTGATTGAAGGAAGTAAGGTCGCTTGGTTTCAGTGGTGAAATTAGCGAGAAAATGGCCACCAAAGTTAGGTAAATCCAATGTCTAAAGAGTCTTTGAAAACTGAAAAATGACATATTTTGTGTCTTTAACTCATTCGCTACGCATTATTTTCGGCTCGTGGATGAATATTTTTCGGGAGGGCGAATGAGATGATGACTAGTGTGCAGTTCACAGGTCTTTGGGGCCACAAATTCAAATAAATATCAACGTGTTATATACCAATATTTTCAGTATGGTTTGTAGAATACATCTGTAATGTTTATTCATGTATTTTTCAACTTTGGTTCCCATAAGAGGCAATTATGCAACACAATTTTGATTGGATGCGGATAAAATTTGAAAATAAAAAAATTAACAATCTTTGGCGAAACTCAAAAACTATGTTTGCACCTAGTCAAATGATACATCAAAATAGCCATAAATGAATATAGAACTGGAAAATATTGAAAAGTTTGCAGTTATTTCCATACATTCCATAATATTTGTACATTTGGATCATAACATCCGATATTGAAAAAAAAATTTTTTTTTATAATCTTGAAAAACGATCTAAAACAGAAAAAAACCCACTCGCATCTTATATGGAATTATTCAGAATTGCATTTGGAATAAACCTATACATGTCTTGAGTGGCACTTTTTGTGTAATTTCATCAAAAAGTAGTGATTTTGGGGAGAAAAAAATATTTTGACAATTTAGATATCTAGACCTAGATCTGGCACTCAAAAATATTGATTTCTCAATAACAGCCTAGTGCATTGGCAATATGAGCCTAATCGTTTCCATGTTATAAAAAAGAGTCCTACACTTCTTTAGTGGGCAAAATAATGATAGATTTTGTCGTGTAAAATTACTAAGACTGGTGTCCGGGCTATAATTTTGGCATCTCGATAAAACAAAGTCGAATAAATTACAAAATCGCATTTCAAAACTGAATCTAAACTTCCGATTTTCAAGGGAAATGCTTGACCCGAAAGTCAACATTATGTTATGACTTTTATTTTAACATGGATATGTGGATTGGAATAGAATCTAAGCTAAAATTTAAGATGGGTTCTCGAGCCCGTACTGACGGCACTTTAGCCGCGCCGCCCCCCACGGCTCGGCGTAGCGAATGAGTTAATAGATGTGTTTCAGTAAAATTCACATGGAAATGTGTTTTTATATGGACATAAAAGAGTTTGAGCCAAAAAATAAAAATGCAATAAAAATGTCCAAACTGGTGGAAAAATGCCTGTTTCTCAGATTCCTGTATATTGACTATCACTTAATTTCACCTCCTGAGTCTCAATGTACATTTTCTGTGTATTTTCAGTTTCAGTCAATATGTCATTTTATTACATATATTAACTCATTCGCTATGCCGAGCCATGGGCAGTGGCACGACGAAAGTGTCTTCCGTACGCCAAGCTGCCCCCGACGGCTTGAGACCCATCTATAATTCTAGCTTAGATTTTACTCCAATCCACATATCTATGCTAAAATAAAGGTTATAATATAACATTGACTTCCAGGTCAAGTGTTTCCGCCGAAAATCGGATGTTTATATTCAGTTTTGAATCACGATTTCGAAGTTTATACTTTGTTTTATCGCGATGCCCAAATTATAGCCCATACACCAGTCTTAGTACTTTAATACAACAAAATGTATAATTATTTTGCTCACTAAAGAAATGCAAGACTCTGTTTAGAAAATTGATACTATTGGACTCAAATTGAAAGTGATCTGTTATTGAGAAATCAATATTTTTCAGTGCTAGATCTAGGTCCAGATCTAAATTGTCAAAATACTTTTTTTCTCCCCGAAATCACTATTTTTTGGTGAAATTACACAAAAAGCACCTCTCAAGACATTTATAGGTTCATTCCAAATGCTATTCTGAATAATTTCATATAAGATTCAAGTGTTTTTTTTCTGTTTGAGAATACATCTCGTCCTTTTTCAAGATTATAATTTTTTAAAATAATTTTCAATATCGGATGTTATGATCCAAAAGTACAAATTATATGGAATGTATGTAAATAGCTGCAAATTTTTTAATATTTTCCTGTCCTATATTCATTTATGGTTATTTTGATGTATCATTTGACTAGGTGCGTACATATTTTTTTAGTTTCACCAAAGATTATTAGTTTTATATTTTCAAATTTTATCCGCATCCAAACAAAATTGTGTTGCATAATCGCCTCTTACCGGAACCAAAGTTGAAAAATACCGAAATAAACATTACAGATGTATTCTACAAACCATACTGAAAATTTTGTTTATAATATGTTGATATTTATTTGAATTTGTTACCCCAAAGGCCTGTGAATTGCGCATTAGTCACCGTCTCATTTCGCCCTCCAAAAACAAATTCGTCCACAAGCCAAAAATAATACGTAGCGAATGGGTTAAGATAAATTCTGTCTGCAAATGGGAAATAACTCATCTTTGGCGGCCACTTTCTCACTAATTTTAGATCTGAAACCAGGTGACCTCCACCCCCTTCATTTGCAAATGTCTCGACTTGTATTCCAGATAAATGGATATTTTTTTCATCCAAAGTAAGACAAAAGAACAAGCTTTAAGATAATACCAATAACTCTACATGCCTAAAAATTGACAAGAGCCTGATTCTGTGGCGTCGTGACACATATGTGAAAACAAAATGCTAAAGCTGTTTTATATGTATTTATATGGAAATGATTGATTTATTATACTTTTGCTTCAGGATGTTCTGATTTTGACCTGATCCTATTTTTGCCTCTGAGAAAGATACTATCTAACAATATTTTCCTTTTAGAACAACAATATCATGATTATTATCAAAGACTAGAAGACAATATCACATTTCAGAAAAAAACATTTGGCTAATAGAAAAGAAAGAGAAAATAAAAGAAATATAATATGCCAGTTCGCTTTCTTTTCTTTAGTTCTGCTATTTCTGTACTTCTGTACTTTCTCTGTTTCTGTGTCTATACTTTGAGTGTATAGATTGAAAGTCTTGAGCAGCATTTTTGCCTCTGTGCTATGTGTGTATAGATTGAAAGTACTGAGCAGTATTTTTGTCTCTGTGCTATGTGTGTATAGATTGAAAGTCTTGAGCGGGACATCATTGACGTCCAATCTGAATTTGAGTTTGACCGCATCGAGTACCTGGACATGATCCGTAAGCAAGACAAGCAGCTAGCCTACCTGGAGGCGGTAATAGAGCGGATACATCCGTGTCTCCGCCGTGACTGCAATTTCTACAACCTGGACCGTGTGCGCATGGAGAGCCATTACAATGAGGAGGAGGAGAAGTGGATCCTGCCTAAGATGACCATCGAGAGGACGGCGCTGCCCGTCACTGGTCAGTGCCTGTTGTGTGCTGGTGATGAATTGTGTGCATATCTATGTGGCTTTCTTGGTATATTTACTGACAGTGGAATCCGTTTAAACTGAAATCTGCAGGACACCGGGTTTTCTTTGGTTTAGCCATGTTTTCGGTTTAGAGAAGTTTCTCAAATAGAAGGTTTAGCCAGGTTTCCTGCTCTTTTTAGATTAAAAGTGTTCAGTTTAAGCAGACCCCACTACATTTTAATACATCAAGGTGCTTGGTTGCAAAACGGTCAGTCGTACAGCATCTATCTTGTTTGTTGACAGAAAGGTCACATTTGGCATGGAAAGGAAGGGTATCAAAATGTGGAACTTGGTCAGTTGTAATGGATTTATAGCTGAGATAGATAGTTCTGCAGTCTATGTAAATAAAAATACCCACACCCCTGGATTTGCATAAATAAACAGATTTTTCTAACTGTTTTCTCTCTTTTTTCATCCCGTCCTCCTTTTCCCTTTGTAGCAGCAGGATGACTAAACACTCACTGCGATGTAGGGTCTGGGTTCAGTTCTTTAAATGAATAGTTAGTCATGTATGGGGAATTACCAATATAGTGTCCACATTTTCTTAGGAAAAGATTTTAGAAATACCAATGCTTGAAATAAAAAATGTAGTTTGCACCAGAGCACTCTTCAACTACCTGACTTTAATTAGAAATGAATGTTTTCAAACACCAGCTATTGAAAGGTGAAGCTTGTACCCTTTCCTTGAGTGATTTCATGTTTTCCTGTCCTTAGGAACGGTCCTGCCCAGCTCAAAGATGGACTCACGAAATCGACCAATGGGAATGAATGGGGATCACGACGATGACTTTGACGATGAGAGACTCAGGGAGGTCAGTTGGTTTTTGCCTTTCTTTCAAACTTGGTTTCGCTTTAGGTTTTCATTGTGATTTGTTGTTGAATGCTAGCTTGCTTTTCTTTCTATTAACTCTTTACAACACCTTTACTGTTTTCATTCCACTGGTACCAGTGGGTGCCGTGGGAGAAACAATCATCTAGTCAACTGCTAGTCAAGTATCTCGGAGGAAGGCCAAGCAATGGGCTCAGAGAATGTCATTTTTCATTACTCAATGTCTGAGTACTTGGATTTGACTAAAACATGTCTGCTTTGCTATGTGTAGTTTCCGTTCACAATCTGGCCATCAAAGTGGGTCATAGTTTTACTCCTTGGCACTGTGAAGTAGTTAAAGTAGAACATATCAAAATTTGTTTATCAATACACATTTTCCTGGTCCAGCAGCCTGTTCAACCTACACTCTTTGACATGTTTCCATAACATGAATTGTCCAAAGTTGGGGGACTTGGGTCTTTTCAAAAGTCTACGAAGCTCATTTTTACTTAGATTACAAAGGACTGGGGTTATAGGGGGTTCTAGGGAGAGATAATACCTTTGTTGCTTGGCTGCTGCTTCCTACTTGTAGCACTGGTTCTCCCCCAGACTCCTAAATCTCTCACATGGCTCCAAGTGCCATACCCAGGGACCTCGCCTCAGCAGGCATGCCAAACCGTGTAAGGGGATGATGTTAACACGACATCACTGGGCGTAACCACAAGATGCCGTGACGGGCGAGGGCGGAAAAAGTTCCCAGATGAACCTAATGGCTTCGTGTTCAAGACCAAGGCGAGCCACCGGGTGGGAGGATTCCGGCTGTGGTCTGGCTTGGAGAGGGATGAGCTCCGCCATGCGACATTGCCCAAGAAACGCCAATGAAGATAACAACGAGAAAGAATCCCACACCGGCTCGGTCGTCGCCCGGAACAAGGACCACCTCTTACGTTGATGGTCACCAGGACGAAACAGGAAGCTATGCTACTGGAAGACGAACAAAAAGTGTACGTGTCAGGGGAAACATTGGCACGTGGAATGTGAGAACCTTGAGAGAAGCAGGGAAGGTTGAGGAACTAGAGCACGAAATGAAAAGTTACCATTGAAACATCCTGGGATTTTGTGAGATGTGATGGAAGAACTTTGGAGAAACACCAACCCCATAAGGACATAAACTATACTTCAGTGGCAGAGAAGACCGCCATGAATATAGAGTTGGAATACTCATTTGTAAAGACACTGTGAACTCCGCCTTGGGTTGCCGACTAGTTTCCTGCCGACTCATAGCCATACGCTTGCATGGGTCTCAATAGTCCGCTATTTAGCGGATTTCCGCTACTGCCATTTCCTCCGTTAAACTCCGCTACCGCGACAGTGGGTCAATCAGAAAGAGAGTTGTTGGGAGCAGGGTGGTTGCCAGGTCCCGGGAATTTTTAAAAAATCGCCGAGCCCCGGGAAAATACTTAAAAGATCTCATATTTGAAAACCAAATTCAATAACGTCTTTAAGTTCATTTCTACCGGTCGCGATTGTGATATTAATTGGGCTCAGAGAGTACGTTTCGCGCGAACTGGTGGTTTTGGCGGCAAGCGGAATTGTGTCACCTAGGTTCGACTAGAAAATCAAGATCTACTTTCGCTTTCGTTACCACCCAGAAATTTGTCAGTAATTGTCTGATATTAACGCAACAATTATTGTAACATGCAGGTTCGGCATTACAAACGTTGTGTCACCATGAAAATAAATCAACATTTCTCACTGTGCCGTCACTTATGGGGGCAACAAAAAGAAAAGAAAAGAAAGTTATAATACAAGCGTCTTGCCGGGCTCGCCATTGTGACCGGTCAATGAACCTACGCGTGTTCTGGGCACTTCGAAGCACAGGACTCAGGAAAGGGGGGAGATTATTGATTTTTTTTTTTAAGACGTGCTCGGGGATAGGGGGAGGGCTGGATGCAACACCAGAAGACGAAAAATCTGAAATTGGAAGAAAATATGTTTTATGTTTAGAATTTTGATTACTACTACAGCTCTCTGCGAATTAAAGTATGCATTGGTGCAGGCCTTGTGTGAAAACGGGAACCGTCATAACTTGTAAGCGTGTTGTGGAACTTTGGGGCCTAAGTGTTCGCGTTTTATTGGATTGGTGACAGTAAATTAGATCTCTGTATTTTAGCTTTCTGTTCAAGATTTGCAGATTTTCAATTTCACTGCTTTTTGCCCTCCCATAGTTCTTTTACACCTCTCACACTGAAAAGGTCTACTTGGGCTATACTACTGTACTTTGAGCGTTAATTTTTGTCTTTCACGTTTATTATGTAGGCCTATGATATGAATCATGACCGTTGATTTTCTGGTTCTAGGCTCAAAACAATATTCATTTTATATAGTTTATATATACAGGCGAATATGATGAAGGGAAAAATTAATAAGTTGCTCAAGACCCCAGGCGCCACCACTTTCTGTACGTAATTAAGATTGTAAATATTTTGTACGTGACTCTTACTTGAAATGATCTCCCAAACCCTCAAATTGGTGTGAAATAACCTTGTTTTGATAAATTAATGGTTTTTATTTCTGCATTCTAGGGTTCAACAGTATAATAATAATGGGTGTTTCGCGAAAATGGGCTTCTGTGGCGATCACCCGGAAAGTTTGAGACCCATGGCTTGAAAGCATCACCCTTCAACATCTCTGTCATCCAAGTAAATGCACCAACAACAGCACATGACGACACAGAAGTACTGGATGAAACACCAAAGAAGAATACCATTGTGGTACAGAGCAACCGGAATGCTAAGATCGGGGAAGATGCAGTAAAAAACTGGGAAGGAATCTGCGGACCCTTCTGCAATACCAACACCAATGACAGAGGTCTATGGCTCCTGGTAATTGCCAGCTATAATGACCTAAACTGATGAACACTTTCAGCCCACATAAGGCATCAAGGAGATGGACGTGGTGCAGCCCAAGCGCAGATTTACATCAGATAGACTACATCATGGTCAAGCGTCGCTTTCAAAGCAATGTCAAAATTGCCGAGACGAAAGTTTTCCAGGAGCAGACATCGACAGTGATCACAACCTTGTCGGGGTGGTATTCTTACTGTGTCTTAAAAAGTGCTGGAAACAAGGAAACACCCTGATCAAGTTTAACCTTGAAAGACTCAAAGTCAAAGACCCAACCATATTAGAATGTTTTCAAGCAAACATAGGAGGAAACTTTGCTCCACTCCTAGCGCTAAATCAAGATGATACAGAAGTTGACTCCCTGACAAACACTTTCTACACCGCCTTTACAGAAACAACAAACGAGCTCCTTCTGAAACATCACATGAAAAAGAAGCTTTGGGTCACAGACGGCATCCTTGAACTATGTGACAAACAAAGAACTCTGAAGAACAAGAAAAATGAACCAGAAGGTGCAAAAGAATACAGAAAGACGAATCTGCAAGTGAAAAGGGTTATGAGAGAAACTAGGGAGAAGCGGATTGAAGAACAATGTGAAGAAATAGAACACAGCCTGAATTAAAACTACAGTAAAAAGGCTTACCAAATCTTCAAAGATCTCACAAGTACCAAACGAGGCCTGGAACTCAAAGACACACTCAGAAAAGCTGAAGACCGTAAGGAATGGAGGAAGCTGGTGGCCAAATCTTCAAAGCGCCCCGACGAACTTGCAGTCTACAGGATAGGTGAAGGTGACAAAGGGCTGGCCTAAAAAGATGTGGTAGCTACAGTTTTAGTTAGGCTGGGACAGAGTGGGCAGTCTAGTTATATTCCTGGTTAGATTCTGTTCGAGTGCATATTCAGTTGATCTAGTGGAATTGTTGGTGGAAGATAATAAATTGGTTGCTTTGTAAAAGATTCTCCTAGAAATATTTTGCTTAACTCTTGTTCTGTGTCGAATAGGTAATTTCAGGGTCTTGTATAAATCTATTGAGCCCTGACCCCTATCTGAGCCTACAGAATCTGTGCAGCTGAGCTCCTGCTAGATTAACCCTAGCATACCCTGCATTTGTTGTGCGGAAGGGTAAAGGGAGTTCATGTTGAGGCTTTCTCTAAGGTCTGTGAGAGGATTGATCCTGATGGCTACAGTGCTGAAAACTAAAGCTTGTGCAACGTTTGTTCCTGATTTTACAGAAATTGCGGCGTGCGGAGGATCAAAGTCACACCCTCCAGCCAAGACGAGCGTCGCAGTTGATCAATTCAGGGGAGCCCATCAACAAGATCAGTGAGTGCTGGCTGTGTATTGTGGTTCACTAGTACTTTTGTCCTTGGAAATAAGATGTGTACAACAGTGTGGATCAAGACGATTGATGTAGTTTCATCCTTGTTTTATGTAGTTGGACGAAGAGTTGATCTTTTTGAAGGCTGTGGGGTGGTCACCAGGAGGTTAGGAATTAACTTTCCAAGAAAAACTGTTTTCTCCCAAGGAATAAGAGGAAAAAATGAAGTCTTAAAGGGTGGGGAAAAGAACAATTGTTTTCTATAGGTAAGGGGGGGGGGGAGAATTTCAACTCTCAAAGGGAGGTTAAAAAAATACTCCCAAGAAAAAAAAAAAGAAGCCAATTCACATTGGGTTAAAAGAATTATTCCCTCAGGGGGAGAAACAATTAACTTCTTGTATGCTCATAAAACAGCAGTAGGTGTGAGGATTGATTTACTAAAAAATCTGTTTAGTTTATGCTCCATGTACTGCCATACGACATCATCTTTTGAAACTCTCAGCTTTGAAAAATAGAGATGTTGTGTTCTCCACCATTTTTCTGTGATGGTATTAAAACTGACACACAATGTGTGAATTTGGTACTCAATGATACGCACCCAGAAATAGTGCATTCTCCATTTGCTCTACTTTTTTGCTGCAAAGTCAAGTTAGCATCTGAAGGAACATGTTTTTGTTACTTCTCATTATCTTTTACGGCCAACTGTTGTTACATGGGAAGGACAGTGGGAAGAACCTGTTAGAAATAAAGCTCCAAAATATTCAGAGCAAGCTCTTTGACACTTTCTCCTGACAAACTTAATTATAGAAGGAAAACTTCTATCAAAAGTGTAAGAGATGAGGTTAATTTGCTTAAGCTGAACTGTTCATTCTCTTGTTATTCAGTTTCCCTTGTCCCTTTTAACTGTCCTTCTCACATAATGGAGTTTCCTGGAAGTATCATGTGCTACTTTTTATGCAGTTAGACATTTCTTCTTACCTATGATGTCTCTACAGACATGCAGGAGATACGCGGCACCATCCGCCCGATGAGGCAAGCCAACTCTCCAGTCACCAATGGTTACCATGGCTATGAAGACGAGGATGATATGATGAGCAAAGATCTTCGTGCAGCACAGGTACATGGGCAGATTCACAATGACGAGGTGGTGCGCAAACCGACACGGCTTGACGCTTTGCCCGCTGTCACCGGGAGAAAGTCAAGGAAGAAGAAAGGTGGACTTGATCCTTTATGAAGTGGATGTGAGATCACAACTGATTTCGAAGATCTTTTGAGAGTTGAAATTATGTGCTTACAACCTGGGTGGGGGGGGGGGGGATTTCAATGCTTCAAAATTTGTTAATATGAGTCTTGGGCTGCTGAAACTGTAAATTGTCCAAGATGAAGGGAGGACGGGGGTCCTGACAGGATCAAAACTATGTCAGTGATCTTGAGGCTGTAATTGTACAATCCTCTCATGCTGTTTTTTTTGTTTTACTTCTGGAGAGCAGCGGAAATGAAGCTCAATTTGCTGAAAGTAAAAACTTTTTTGTTTCTATGAAAGTCGAGTTTTGAAAGCTCTTTGGGATTTAGTGTGATACAACTATATTCAGAAGGGAGACTGGGTATAATTTCAATAAATGGAAAGGTGGATAGAATTTTCAAGCAGCACTGTAATTTGGACTTTCAGGGAAAAGATTGTAGGTTCTGTCCGAGTGACTTCAGCCTTGTTTTGAGGGGTTGCAAGGTGTCTCTTCACCAAATTGTGGCACATGGCAGAATTGCATGTTTTCACTAGCACTTATATTTTTAGGAATTGCTTTGTGAATGTTGCTTTCTCCATACTGTCATTCTAGCGATTTGGAACCCTGTTATATTGCACCCATATATAACACACACCTGGACATAATACACTTGGATCCTTTCTTTTAGATGTTTGTTTGAAAAATACAGCTAAAATGTTTTTGTACTTTCCCTTTTTCAGTAACATAACAATCTGTGTGAAGAACCAAACTAGATATACTAAAGTGATTAAGTGGCTTCAGGGTAGGTAAGCAATACCAGATGCAGATCAATTAAAGTGAAAAAGTAGGTGTTTTAAGACTTTATTTCCCTTCTCTTTGCTCCCTGAATACAGATTTGTTTATAATCCTAAGTGTAACACGTCACATTTTTCAGTAAATCATTTATCGAAATTGAAACAGGGTTCCTCGTGTTTTAATCTGAATTTTGAGTGTCTCATGAGTGCTATGCCAATGCTGTGACACCCTCGTCAGGGTCTTTTTGTAAAGTACCAGAGCTTTAAATCATTGTCAGGAAATCATTTTCAAAATGTGTTAATAGTTTTGCCATCTGTCCACTCTTTGATTTACTTATCAGCCGTACCTTTTCAAATTTCTTCATGGTAGAACATTTAGTTTCATCTTTAAGAATTTGTGTTGGAAACATGTTGCATGTTCTGCATTCCATGCATTCTGATCTTATTTACTTTCTTTATGCTATTTTTTGTTTAGCCCTCGCTTACTCAAAGTCAGACTGATCTTGTGATGTTTGAAAACTGCTTTGTTTAGTGGTGTATTTTGTTGGTTCATAACTTCACTTGTGGGGCATGATGTGCCGTTGACAGTTTTATGCTGAAGGTATTGCTCAGTATATTGACAAATGTTATATGCTTTATCCTTCTATAATTCCGTGTGTTTAAGCTGCCACTCATTGCAGAGCATCAGTAGATGACTTTTTTAAGGTTTCATTTTGCTTTTAATAATTTTTATTTAAAATTTTGAAAATGAAGTTGAGATAAAATTGCTAGCAATTTTGTTTTAAGCGTTAGAAACCCAACCCAACTGTCAACTGTTTGTACTTGCTTATCAATTTCAATTCAGATAAAGTCAAGCTTTCATTTTACCATATTTGAAAATTTAAGAGAATTTATAAAACTGGTCGATTCCCTTGTGAAAGAATTTTATGGTCATTTTAAGTGTTGCGGTTGCTTATTATGAACATCTCAAGTCTTTCGGCAATTTTTTAAATCAGGGAATAGTGTTCATTGATATTGCTGACTCACTTGAATATTCGTGTTTGTAAGCACTCCTGTCGTCAAGGGTTCTCATTTTTACAGCTCTGAATGTCTCACAATCTTCAAGTCTCTCGTGTCTCATCTTTTACATTTTAAATGCTTATAAAGCATTTTTTTTATTCATTTCGCTTGTGATTCATCACTGTTTGTTCTTGTTTTTTAAAAATTTATTATCATAAAAGTTTCTTTTTATTATGGTTTCTTTTGATACTTTTAGTCAAATATGTATTTTAAAGAAACTTTGTGCAAATAATCTTGTGCAAATGTTTTATTTGTGTCCCATGGTGCATAAGAGCATATCTCTACATCATTCTTCATGTGGTGGTACCATGTCAGGCATAAAGTTTATACCTGTAAGTGCAGCTCTCAAATGAGAGATAAATTCACACACTCTCTATTTCTTATTCATGTCTTTTGTTTGTGGAGTTTTATGGGGGATTTTTTGGCTTTATCTATTTCCTGTACTGTTAATTTATCTTTTAAGTTACAGCATTTTCTTTTTTTGGCTAAACCATCAAAGTGGTGGGAGGATATGAGAGGGGGCACATAAGGAGAACACAAGAATTATTGAAAAAGAATGCTGTATTGACTTCAGATTTTTCTTACTCAGATGTAAGCGTACTGACCAGTACCTTTACCTTTCTTTCAAACTGAAAATTTGTGAGTGGAAGAAGTTGTAGATGTTTATGCAAAGATATTGTCTTTGCAAGTTAAAAGTAATCTTTGTTGTGGTTATGATGATGCATCCAACTGAATTCACAATGAGATTGTTTAAAATCCTTTACTCTTTGCAGTTCTTTCATTTCAATAGTCTGTGGTGGTCATTTATACGAAATCATAACTTTAGAATTTATAAGTATACATTGTAGATCTGAGCTCTAAAGTTGTAGATGTTGAAGAGGTGTCTTAAAAAGACAATAGAATGTTTCCTAATGTGACTTGTGTGGTCTGCATGTGGAGAGATAATATTTATTGTACTCGCGTGTAAATAGTATCAAGCAATAGTGTTATTGTTGGGGTGCAATACAAGCTGCTTCTTTATGTGGAGCACTCTGGTGTGATAACTTGGAGACAGTATTATGCGTTGTGTAGACTGGCTTTATAACAGTAAGGTTATATTGAAAGTTATTGTTTGCTTGCCACACACTCATCACCTCAGAAAGACCTCATTTAACATTTTTGTAGGTAGGCCCTTTGTTTTCAATCATCAATTGGTTATAACAACGTTTAGAACAGGAGTGGGCAAACTTTTCGGATAGGGGGCCAATTTGACACCCAGGCTGCTCTGTGTGAGAATTGTTCCTGATCCCTGATGTGTTTGTATCTGTTTTGGTCTCTCTCACAGGGATCTGTGTTCTTAAATAGGGTGGAGGTGATGGTGTGTATGCTTGTTGGTGGACTTTTTTTCGTTTACACTTGTGTCTGGAAATATTTCTGCTCTCAAAGACTGTACATTCTAAGACAGGTCCCTTTTGTTGTTTTCTACCTATTGACAGTTTGTGCAAACCAATAGTAGTATCTTTTAAGTCTATCAAATGATGCTGTTGGAAACTGCATCCCCATAGCTTCTCAGTCATCCCCATGCTTAGAAATTGCCTGTAATTACTCTGAAAGGAGCTTTAAACTTTTATGGCTGGATACACATATACAAATGTGCCAGGTGCAGAATGTAAAATAACCCTAAAGCCAACTATATTTAACAAATAAAGTATCTACAGACAGATGCACTGACAGATTTTCAGGTCCCGAATTTTCTCATAAGTATATTCTTTGCATTTGAAACTTGTACATAGAAAAATTTGTTAATACTAAAAATATTTCCAGCTATTTTGCTATTTGTGTGCTAAACTGCATGTTTACTGCAATATCATGGGGCCATCACATAATGACAAAGAGGTGAACCTCTGTACTTCTGATCAGCTCTTGATAGCAGAGACATGATTGAGTTCAGATTAACAGCATTCCTCCGCTGATGTTTGTATGTATAGTATAAGGTTTTACGGCCCTCGCAACTGCTAAGGTCATATGAGCGCGCGAAACACAAGTTGTTCACCTTTGCAAAAGTTCACTTCACGACTGGTTAACTAATTTACTTTAAAATGCTAATAAGTTAAAATATTTAAATTCGATGTAAATAAATTTCCGCTGATGTTTATTTACTCTTGTCCTCACAATGAAACCTGAGTAGCCTGTCATAGAAAGTACAGTGTTTATTGCTCTTTGTGTGTCTTTTAAGATTTGAGTTTGATATATGAATAATAAATAATTCTAAGGGATCTGTACTGGTATAAAAATCTGGTGGTTGGTTTGCGTGATACTGATTCTACTATTGTGATAATAGCTCTGCTGATGTTATGTTAATACCCGCCATTCCTTAATGATCCGTCCACTTGTGTCCAAGTTTTTAGAATTTTGTGTATTTTTTTTACTTCAGTTGTACTTTTAGCATTTTTATAGGTGCAAGAGTCAGGCTTCTGATGTGGGTACCCTTTTGTACTTGGTAATCTGATGATTATAATTGCTGTCATGAGTTAAAAGTATAGTATTGAAACAATGAAGTCGGGCTGTGATTTGAGGTACACTGGTGTCATTTGTCTTGTTATTTCTTTGGATGTGCTGATTGAGATTCGATTTAAAGGGCACTTTTCATCACCCCAAATGATTTTGCTTCTGAGGTTGCACAAGTTTCTAGGCTTTCAAGCTTGTCAAGATGTACATGATACGCCTTATCATTCCCTCGTTAGTCTGCTCATAACAAATCATGACGTACGGTGCACTTTTAAATGATCTTAAAGAGGTAGGTTTTGTCACTATCCCAGGCATGCGCCATTTTAATCAAATTTTTAGTTTGATTTTGAACCTTTTCTATGAGTTTTGTGGAGTTGGGTTTTTTTTTCTTGGTGAGTGACATTTCCTCCACAACTTCACACGGGGCACGAATCACTCAGTTTCGTGAACTTATATTGTTTACCAATGATGAGCACTGTGAGATTTTTTTTCAAATGAGTTTAGGATTATTTCATCAAAAGGGTAAAAAGAAAGAACATGTTGTTCTGTTCCTTCAGAATATCAATTAAATCATAATTCAAATGTATGAATCAATAATCACGATGTGAACCCTTGTACGATTTTGCCAGTATTCATGAATAATATGCATGTTTCTATCGTGACTGGTACATGTGAAGTTGTTTTAACAATGTTTTCGCCATTTGGTTTCCGGTTGTGATTCTTCAGCGTCTTTCACTGTTGTCTGCCTGCTTGTTCACGTGTCTCAGACTGTGTCATAGATTCTTTGTGTCTTTATGTCTATTCTCAGACTTCGTTACTCAGGAGGCCATGGTTTGTTAATAGTTCATCGTGGTAAACGACCTGTACATGTAGTTCAGTTAGGCACATATGTGAGCCGTGCTGGCAAAATGAGTTACTTCTTGGATTTTAACTCAAATAGATATGTCAAAACTTATAGGTGGAGTTTGTACCTTGTAAGTATAAAAGACAAGTTATTCTTAAAGAATACGGCATCTATTGAAAATCTATAAGTTTGACCCCAGTGTCGATTTTTGGTCAATATCTCATTTTGTGGATTGCAAGGAGTATTTCATTTTGTCAGTAGCCTCACATATATTGGGTTCTTTTCTCCACGCTTCAAATTTCTTTGCAGTCAGTGATGAATTACGTTATATTGATTGTTATATTAGTATTAACGAGCAGGAATATGTTTCTTCACTTCCTCATCCGTTCATTCACTTATCATACCCTTATGTAAAATGGGCAACTTTCTAAATCCTGAACAGGTATTGAAAGTCTGATTGTCAAGTGTTCTTTTGCTGCTTGGTGAATTGTGGAAGTCAAAGTACCTTGTCCCACCTCCTTACCAACTCAGCTTGGAATAGAACTGTTGACTTTTCAATGCCTTAGTGAACCACTAGAAAAGGGTGCCCTACATATTTTTAATGATAAAATACATTGGATATTTTCTTTAATCTACTGAACTGCTCCTAATTTTTTGTGACTTATTCTCAAAACTCAGATTACAGCATTTTATTCAATACTTTATTATTTTATCCGCGACACTTGTCATTTTAAAGGAATGGGTAGCGTGATGTGACTTTTTATTAATGGTTACTGTATTTCTGGTGTTCTTTTTTCGTTTGTCTCAACTTCAAGAAACATGACTCAAATATCCGTCCGTACATGGTTACAGAGAAATGAGCCTTCAATCAATGTTCAAAGCTTAAGAACAGGTTTTGTGACAGAATGAAGCTCTCGTTTTGCAATGTTTGACCAAGTCTTGTTATGGACACCGCTCTTTTTCATCCCTTACACTACATTTCTGATCTTGCTACCCAGATCTTTTTTTTTTGGATCCCCATTGTTCCTTCAAAACATTCCAGTCACAGATCAATAACTTTGTGTATCTCTTCAACACACTGTAGATCACTGGAGACTTCAAACATGTGATATTTTCACCTCATACCGACACCCACTGGTCAATAAAATTGTTTTCTACACTGCAAGTTGTGTTTCTTATTCCAGCAACAATAGAATATAAATAATATATGTTTGTGGAGTCATTAAGTGTTTTTAGTTTTAGCAAAGAGTTTTAGGGCACTCGTAACACAAATAAGTCATAGAAGTGTCCAAGATACTACTCGATATTACTAGAGAGTGACACACAAAGAAAAGGAGAAAAGATGAGGATGATAAAGGTTTGATAGGAAGGAAGAAGCAAACCAAAGCAGAGCACCCGCCAACCATCAACTCAGTAGGGTCTTTGTGAAAACCATCAACTCAGTGGAGCCTTTGTGAAAATGAGAAAACCTTTCCTAGAAACCAATCGGAGCTCTGTCTTATGAATTGAGAGAAAATATTCCATGATGCAAGAGGTGTGCGAGACAATAATTTCAAGACTTGAATCCGGACCGGAGTCTCTGCTGTGGACTTGAGTAATTACTCGAGTCCTACGCTCTTAAGACTCCAGTAATTACTCAAGTAATAGTATCCCGAAAGGGACTTTTAGAGGATTATAAAAGTTTTGCTGAATATCGGACAGAAAATACAGTGACTTCCTAGGAGGGCGCTTGAGTAGGCTTATGGCAGTTCTAGACATCTGCATGCTGTTTATACCGTATTTTATTTCATTTTATCTTGTGAAGTGGCTCTGGGTGAAAATAAAAATACGATCAACCTCTCACCCCGGATGAGACTTGCCAGCGTTGGCTTTTCTCTCCCTGTATGAAAGAAGACCTGTTTTTCCTAATTTCTGAATAGGGCCTACTACTGTCTATCGGTGTGGATGATCAAATTTACAAAAACATAGAAGAAGAAAAATGATGTTTTAACACAAAAGCAAACTAATTTGGCTGTCTACAAAGATGCTACGGCTATTTCACTGTTCGAATCAAGCCGAACAGTACCGGTCGCCATTTTGTTTTGCCCCGAAGTACTCGTTAGATCTAGGCTACTCCTCTCCCTCTCTGTCTCTCTCCCCCCACTCCCACTCTCTCTCTCTCTCTCAATGCCCGCAGACAAAATTGCACACTTTCAACACAAAAGCGCTGGATTGTTTGTTTACCCCACAGAATTCAATAAAAAGGGTAGATCTAGAATTCTTTGGTTTACACAGAGTATCACAGTAAACGCACAACGGGTGAGAATAGCCAAAAGGCTCGCCCTCTCATCCCGGGTGAGAAGCCTAAAACTGTGCTATTCTCTTCCGCGTCTTTACTGGGGGGGGGGGGTTCTTGTCTTTTTTTTCAATTAAAAAAAATTGCTTATTAGAATTTTTTCTTTTAACAAATATTAATTTTTTTTAAAGCAAATTTCTTTCCTTTTTTTTTTTTCTACGGTAGAGTCTGGGCTCGGACATTTGAACTCCAGTCCTTAATCGAGTAACTTACTTGTGACTCAAGTATGGACTCGCTGCGTGTATTACTTGAGTACTCCAGTCTGGACTCGTTACTCACACACCTCTACAGGATGCACAAGAAAAGTGAGTCTGTGCAAGGAGAGACGAAAAACCAGATACAGTCGAAGTCAAGCACACACTTAGCAAAATTGGCGGGATGCTGAAATTTTTCATTATGTACGAATTTTGCTAGGTATGTATGTGTTTGAAATACAGAGAATATACATGTCTAAGAAACAAATTCAGGACCTGAATATTTGTATGCCATGTGCCTATCTCCCTGTAGTCGTTTTCATTATGTGCATGCTAGCCTGTATCTACTTTGAGTAAAAACAGACCAAAAGCTAAAAAGAAGGCAGAACAGACATTTTACAGAATGTATTTATTATATACTATTATCATCTGGCAGTACTTGATCAAACAGGCAACTCAAACAGCTGACATAACAATTCATACATTATTACGAGCTGGTAAACCATAGGAAAATGTCTGCAAGAGGTTCGGTTTGGCCTTTGTACATTTTCTCTTCACAATGCAACAATTCAAAACTAAAAACACCACACTGACACATCACAATGCAGTTTTTCCATACGTTACATTTAAATTTCAAAGCACAACAATTTTCAATAAATGTACACCATACTAAGGAACCACTATGCAGCTTTTTGAAACTTTACACAACAATGGATAACAGCCAGACTCTTCCTCTTGCCTACTACATGTATAACAACATCACATATTGAGCACAATCTGTGAGAAAAGGCCCAGGCAACGGCCATATTGCACAATTTCATTTCACCTCTGGGGAAACAATACTGCTATATGTTAAGATACCATCAGTCTTAGACATCTACATTCTGTGATCAGAACGATACAATAACAGGATGCATTTAATTCAAAGACAGCACACTGTGATTCTGAAACAAAGAAAACAATAACAAGACTTAACACGAAATAGTTTTACAGCCTCCTGAAAAAAAACCCATTTACCTCTTTAACATATAACAGTATTCGTTCTGAGTGGTGATATAAAGATAAAGCACCTCATGTGAGCTTAAGACAGGACTGATGTGACAAAAACACAAAATTCACATTGCACCTCTCTTTTTCAACTTGAGTATCCACATATATACATATCACATACAAGAACATAACTACTACTTAGACAGCAAAAGTATAGGCAGAGGAAAGTGGACAGAGAGGAAAACGACGGGAAATATGTCAATAACAAACGGGAAAATTAAAAGTACATTCAGTAATCTATGGTATTGTTTTCTTTAATTGAAAAGAAAGACATTACCTCACAATGAGTACATGGCTCTAATAAAGCTTGGTCTGCATTGTCCTGATCTTTTCGCTCCTGGTGAAACGTGTCCATTATTTCACCAACTTGCTCTGATCTCCAACAGACTACAAATAATGACAGCAACAACGAATTAAGTGTTCCACACATATACTTTTAAGCAATTCTCTCGTCCTTTCCCTATTCCTTCCTTTTTACTATTACCTCTTAGTTGCAGATTTCAACATCAGGGAAACCTACTCGAGTCTGATAGGTGTGGAACTCTTAAGCCATCCTCCCAAAATAAATCTAAAGCTATCTTAGTTTTCATCAAACCCCTGTGGGTGGTTGGAGGCTGACATCTTACTATTTTACCATCCCTCTCTTGCTTTTGCCTGTTCTTTCAGTCTTTTTTCTAGCACCAAAAGACTGCTACTGTATTAATGTACTTCTCTTATAACATGAACGTCTCCGTACATTGGCCAATAAATGTGTATCAGTATACATGCTTTTTTTAATTAAAAAAAACAAAAACATTGAGAAAATACAATTTAGCTGAACACCTATGACTTTAAGAGGAAAAAGAGCGATGCTTCTCAAATAACTGTCTCATGAAATTCAGGATACAAGGTAGCTCTTCCTCTACGGAATTAATTAAAACCACCCACAACCAGGAGCTTCAGCAATGTGTAGCACATTGACTCAACATTTCACAATATCTGTGCCAATCACCAATAGGTGTCATCACCCTTCACTGCTCCATATGACCTAGTGGTGACAGATCATGGTGCAAAAAGAGTTAGGTAAGAAATAAAATTTAAAAGGCTAAAAATTTCAACATCTAGGGTATTCACTTCTGACATTACTTTTCTAACCTCTATCTGGAGTCTATTATATACTGAAGACAGGGCTAAGTTATATGGTCATAAATATGGAATCTGAAGCTATAAAGGAACATATGAATTATAAAAACCATTGATTACAAAATGCATCCATGCACAAGCAAACATACACAATCTCCCTCTTCTTCATTCTTCTCTTTATCTCTTCCTTGACTTGAATTTCATTCTCCCTCCTTTCTCATCTCTTTCTCTATAATTTCTCCACCACATTTTTACACTAAAACATCTGTTCAAGACATGACTTTTCAAACAAAGCAACAGAAAATAAATAACAACCAACTTAACAACATAGTAAATAACTTCAACAGTCAAATTTGATAACCGCAAAAGGCTGAGAGGATGCAAAACTACTTCACTGGGGAATTCTGAAGATCTATCTTTGGTAATCAACAAGGGAGTAAGTCTTGCACACATCGACCCCCAAAAAACTAACCAAGCATCTGACAAAGACACAGTAAAAGACAGAAAAAATCCTCTCTTTGAAATCTGTGTGTCATGTAAGACGATCAGGGAAGGAGGGAGGGGCATCATTCTTATCGGCCAACGGATCACAGTACACAGGTGTGTGCTTGTGTTCGCGTGTAAGTGTGTGCGTCTGCTTGTCAATGTCAAGTCTACTGGCACTAATTTAAAAGTCCTACAAGACATAATGAAAATGCTTCACTATATATGACTTGTAAAGTACAAAGTCTTATGAACTTCAAATAATTTTTGCACATGTGAAGAAACAAGTCATCAGCAAAAGATGAGCAGAAAGATCAAATGTCCCCCAACATTTTCTTTCATTAAAAAAAAATTGTGTGTTTATCCCTACATAAGATATGAACTGTTAAGAAAATCAGGGTAACTTTTGCTTTGTTATCGCTTTCTATTCACTTGGCAGAGAATAATAAAGTATTTTAAAATAAAAAATGGGAAGAAAGAAAATATAGCGGAACATGTCCATAAGGAACACCTCATGCAGAGAAGAAATGTGTTCATCTTAGACTAGTGATCCTCTTAGACAGTGTCATGATAATAGATTTTTTTTAATGCATAGGGGGGGGAGGGGTTGGAAAAGGTTATTTATATTGGTGGTTGTCTTGGACAGCTGGTCACTAGAGAAGGTTCCACTATACATGTATGACTAACCAGGACAATAGACACTCATTGGTACAACAAAAAAAAAGCAGTGAAGCTCTATTCGAGATTATGTGGTGCTTTCTTGCACTAACTCCAATTTCTAACTTTTTGGGAGTTTTTGTCACAACTGTCAAGGCTGTCGAAAAATCTTCCCTTAGCACTCAAAATTATTTTGGTTAACGCTTGTCTTCTGTAGAATTTCAGTTTCATTTTCTACACATTCATATTTTCGCGACAGCAGTTCTGTGTTTTCATACTGATTTAAATCTTAACCAAATCGGAAAAACTTGAGCAAGTAGATATTTTCGAACACCAGTGAATCCAAAATTACACCCAAAACATGCCGACATGCTAGTTCACGAAGACATACTATATGTAGTTATCATAACACTAAAGCACTGATTTCATATTATTTGTAAATACGTACAAACTTAAATAAAAGCACATGATTTCACATTTCTCTTAAAAATGATTTGAAGACTTAATCAAACATTCAACAAAATATGTATAATACAAGCAAAGGAATGTGATGGTTATGATCAACATGATTAACAGTGGGTCCTTTCCTGTCAGTCAAGTATGCCACTGTTGAGGGTAACATCCTGTAATCTCATTAGCCAACTATACATAGTTCAGATATACACTTTAAGAGATTTATTTTCATTATTTACGAAAGTATTAAACTAATTAGTAGAAAAATAAATAAGGCAAAAATAGTGTCAAAGGAGATTGAAATGAAGAGGGTATGTACGGCAATCAAGATAACACACACATGAGATGAAACAAGCTAGTAGGGGGAGACTGTGCAACTTGGTCTAGTCTCCTGCTCCCCCCATCCTCCAACAACAATAGTAAAACTGTGGACATGGGCGTCACATTGGCCTTCTTCATCATTGCATACTAATCAAGAACTCGGCTTCATCTCAGATAAATATTTTTACAAAGCTATGGATGAAACAGTTCACAATTAAACCATGGCATGAAGACACTAGACATGATATTTTTAAAAATTGCAATCTAAGTTTCAATGAACACCCCCAACCTCACCATCTTTCCTCAATCCTAAATCAAACCATGCCAAATTACTCTTCTTTCCTTATAAAGCATTACAAAGTTTGCATACTGTGTCCACACTTACAACAGTACCATTTACAGTCTTCACAACTACTAAATACGTTATGGAACTCTACAAACTGACTCTCATCCTCGACTCATTCCTAACACTTGCCCACATCTAAACATTACTCTTGTTCTGGGACAATACTCTCATCCTTGTTCCTTGCGTGACTAAAAAGAAACTAGCCTAAAAAATGAGCATAAAATCCTTCCATCTCAACAACACATCAAACTTTTCTTCCCTCTGCCTTCCATCCATCAAGTGTGTAAGTGACATGAAAGTCAAGGGTCTTTCCAGTCCACCTGGTACATTTGTTGGATGCTTTGCTTACTCCCAGTTCTAAGTTCTGTGTAATTATTATCGACTATGACTGTAAATAATCCTAGCTGTTCTATGGTTCCATCAATACAATTAACATCACATAAAAAGAGGCTGCTTTTACCCATAGTTTGTAAAGGCTATCCCCTGTTGTTTTCGACACTAATTCCCTTCATAAAAACAAACTTGATAAAAAAAATTTCTACATATTGGAATCAAGCTCACATTTTTCACACAGAATGCAAAAAGACTATTACTCCATAAACACCAGTACAACTACTATCCAATCAACGTATCTCTTTTTAGTTAAATCCCACCCCCTTCAGTGCCATGGCGCCATCCAATCATCTGCTTTAATTAGAAACAAGTTCCCATTTTCTCCCATACCAAAATAAAACCTATTCAAGAACTTGTATGTCTTCGTTATAGTAGAGGTTTTACGGCGCTCGCAACTATTGTATGTCTTCAACACTAAAATACAAACACATGAACATTCATCACACATTTGCATTAAGCATTTGCTCATCCTGTTGTTTATCCTGTTTTATCCCACACAACTCCCAGTATTTTTTCAGTAGCATCATTTTATATTTACACACAACCTCCAAATCTCACTTTTTCAGAAAATACTTTCTTCAGCAAGCATACAACAACCCTTCAACTGTCACCGATGTGTGCCCAAGGGCAGATGCTTTGTGTTAGATTATTATAAGCATTACCGTATGCTACAATCCAACAGTGCGAAGACAACAACTGGTGTATTAACCCCATGTTCTGCACCAGAACACAGCCATATCCTGCGGCCGGCACAAAGACAATAATCATAGAAGTCCACGTGGTTCAAATTAACAAAGCGGCGGCAGAAAGCAAGATGAGCACAAAGAAAGACCTATCCACAGCCACTGCTACATGTCTACAGGGGTCATCTTGTCCTTCCAGCACTGAAGAGCTTCCCGGACACCGGGCAGATGTACTTGTTCTTGGCACAGTGCACGTGGGTGACCACTCCATTGGGGTAGCGGACAAAACTGGGGTCGTTGAAGGCTCTATTGCACACTGCACAGGCTCTGAATGGAGAAAAATAAAAGACAACCCATTTGGAATACCTAAGTAAGTCAGGGGAATTAATGCGGAATCAGGTGAGCTTCCCATTAGGAGACAAACACGACAATAAATAACAACTTTAACACTACGTTTCTTATTCTGTATTTCGGTAATGTACGAGCGAGTGGTATAACTGGTTAACAGGAAGAGATGTGTTGAAGTTATATATGTGTCACAAAGCGATGGAATCAGGCGCTTGTCAATTTGTTTGTTTGTTTTGTTTTTGTAAAGTGTTTTACGGCGCTCGCAACTGCATAAGGTCATATAAGCATGAGGGACACACCTAATATTTTCAGTTGGTAGGAAATTTTGAATTTTGCCTGGGTGGCGGCCAAAGCCTACTCTTATCGATTTTAGACCACCAAGGGATCTTTAACGTGCGCAACTTGCACACAGGCCCTCCGAGATTTTTCGCCCTTGTCCGAGAAGGGTAGGTGTAGATCTTTCCTACCAGAAGATCAGGGGTGTGAATGAAAGACAGCAGTAAGAAGAAGCGAAGGAGTAGCAGTAGAAAGGCTGCAGAAAGAATCAGGAGCTCAGAGGAAGGGGCAAAGGAGTTGAGGGGGCGGGGGCAGAAAGAGGAGACGAAAGCAGATGACAGAACATTGCTAGAGAGCTGGAAATGAGGTGAAAGTAGACAAATTTAGAGAAGAAAATTTTTCGGTCGCTACCCGGATTCCAACCCGGGACCTTTTGAATGAGATGCCAACACCTTAACCTCTAGGCCACGAGAGCCCCCTGTCAATTTTTAGGCATGTGGAATTATAGTTATCTAGAAGCATATTCTTCGAAGCCTTGCCTTCGATAAAAAAAATGCCCATCTTTCTTAAGAAGAATTCGACATATTCGCCACTGAAGGAGGTCGGGGTCACCTGGTTTCAGAGTAAAAATTAACAGGAAAATGGCCGCCAAAGTTCAGTAACTTCCATAGCTTAAGAGTTCTTAAAAACTGAACATTTAAATATTGTGAACCTTTAATTCATGTTTTTCAATAAAACTCATATACGGAAATTTGTCTTTAAAGGACACAAAAGGTGCAGCGCCAAAGAACAATTATTTGATAAAAATTTTCAAACTGGCCGAAAAATGCCTGTTTCTTCGATTTCATTATTTCCACGAGTGCCTGCTTTCACGAAGATGCCTCGCATATAGTCATGTTTCTCATCTGATCAAAACTGTCTTGATGAGACAGTTTCAGGCTTCCTACATGTGACATCTGCCTGCTCGCAGAACCAAATGTGGGAGAGAGGGAGATAATCAATGTAAGCTGCCCAGCAGTTGCTATGCCAGTTTTTAGTGTGTATCTCCAGCAGCCAGTTTGCAAGGGGTGCTGTCAGGAAAATTCACTTTCGTTTAGAGAGGACCATACAACTTAGGCAGCTGGCATTTTAAAGTGACTTATGCTATGTTCATATAAACACTCCTTTTCGTTCAATGGTGAAACCTGGAGGTAAGCCACGCTGGCGGTATAACAGGATTGAAAGCAGTATTAGACCCATGCAGTACCGTAACCTCCCATGATTATTTGAGTGTACAGGAATACATGAGCATGATTACGTGTTCGTGAGTAGCAAATGAATCATAGAATCTAAGCACCTGTTACATGCTCTCACCTCTCATCGTTCATAACAATGGCGTCTCTCTGCAACTCAATGAATGTCTGCTTGACCTGCAGGTTCTCTCCCCTGGCCATCATGCGTTGGATCCGAGTGGTGCGGCTGTTGTGCATGCTGCTGCGGACAGCCCTGGTCAGGAACTGAGCCAACAGCCCGACAGACCAGCTGTCAGGCAGAAGCTGAAGGACCTGTGAGAGGAGATGGGGACAAAAAATAAATTAACCAAGACGATGACTTAGATAAGATTACATTATTGTCGTTGTTGAGTTCTAGATTATGAGGCAGAGCACAGGCAGCTTAATTTTAGTTGGAAGGATAAAGATTTATTAGAGTAAAAAAAACACCACAATGACACAATAATAGCACTTTACTGGCAGGTAAAACAGGGGCAGCTGGATCGCTAACAACAAAACAGGGGCAGCAAAGACCTTCCAGAAGCATCTCAATCTATCTGCTCACTCTCTGTCCCCATTCCCTAAGACAAGGAATTTGACTTCACTGTTAAATCTCTTTATTTGAGCACTGCTCCCACGTTGTAAGAGAATAAAACAAAAACATAATAGAAAAGACCCATCTTAGAGTATTCAGCTCCTAAATCAGTTACTATGAATCTTAAAGCTTGCATACATTTCAACAATTCCCATCTGGCTTTGCTTAATTGGCAGCATGGTAGAGCCCTTCCTGGCCAGACTTCTCTAATTGCTCCGATTTGGGCAAAACCCCTTCTAATTTTCAAAAACAAAACACTTTTTGTTTCTTTGCCAAGATCAGAAAAAATTTGTAACAAAAGCCAATAAAACAATGACCACATTGCAAATCTAGGACAGAACTTTCTGTACACAGAGTGTGTGCTGAAGCACAATCAAATGAAGACTACAGGGGATACTGAGGATGTCCAAGCCTTAGTCCCGTTCTTCAAGTCCTCACTGTGCAATACAACGATGACATACAATAATGAAATCTGTCAGAAATTACCAGTAAATAAATATTTAACAGTGGAGCAAAAATGCTTCTCAGAATTTTCCACATGACAGCGACAGGATGTTATCACTTAGTAGGAAAATTTGTAATCACCAGTTTTTTTCCTCTGTTGTATTGCTACTCTCCATTCTCTCAAACAGCATCAGCCTTGCCAATTTAATCATGTAGAAGCAAATCAAAGGTTAAGTTTGACAAGTGTGCCTAGGCCAGCCTGTCTTCCCGACCCGACCTGACCCTTAATGTTGAATCAGTAAGCACAATCCTTTACCTTAACGGTGTCGAACTCAGCCACAGAGCTATTGAGCAGAGCCATGGCAGGGGCCACCAAGGTGTCTCTCCGCCTGAAAGAGAGAATCAAAATCAGACTATAAAAAAAAATAAAGTGGTTTGTTTTAACCGATTCCGTCCATTTGGCTGCTGACAGCGGCTCTGAGTTTTTCCGCTACCTCCATTTGACCGCTGCAAGCGGCTCAACGAAATCTGAGCAAAATTCGGAAAAAATGTGCACTTTTTAACATAGTTCCTACTTTTTAAGTTGTCAAAAGGAAGTAGAGTTAGTAAACAAGCCTGACCTCAATCTCTGAGTGCCAATATCGAACGAAACTCCGCAAAATTCTTGCAAAAATCGTTGTTTTGTTGTCGTTATGTAAGCTAGATCTAAGGGTAGACAACAATTAGCTTAGTAGTATAATAAAAAGGCCCTTCAAAGAAAGATATTAAACTAAATTTGTGAAATTCTTGCATAAATGTATGCTAGGGTGATATCGCTACAATTTTGTGTTGATTCCTATGGATTATAAGGACTTGTAGAGCTGAGAAAATGCGGTAAGTCGAAATTTTCCAAGAGGTGTAGCGCAATTTTGTTTTCCTCATTCGTTTTTGTCTGAGGGAAAATATAATACAAACAGATTATAGGTCATTGTCATTGATATAAAACAGATTCCTCTATTGATTCCCATCAGTTTGGTGCATGAAAATACATATTAGAGTAACTTACAGCTTTACAGTAACGCATTAAATAGATGCACTCCAGGTTTAAAACTGAACAGGGAAAAATAATTCTGCCTGAAAAAATCATGGATGGAATCAGTTAAGTTTGATTAAACAGAAGCTCATTAACATAAAAATAACCATTTAGTGGAGGGAAAAAGGGGAAAAGCAAGACAAACAAGAACAGCATGTACAAAGAACAGAAATAGTAAAAGTAGGATACACCATTGGCATCCTCCATCAGCACTAAAATCTCAGACATGGCAATGAAGAGATCGTAGAACTTCATGTGTTGTTTACAGCTAGTCAGCATAATAACAGCCAAACATCCCCAGAGGAAAAATAGTTAAAAATAACCACAAAAAGAAATAGCAGAAGACATAAATAAAACATGAGAGAACATAGTTCTTACCCTCCACAAAAGGAAATCAACAATGTATTTATCAGACATACAAAAATCAAAGCAAACACAGAATGACAAGACACCAATCATTTCACACAAGGATAAAAAAATAAGACTCCTACTCATAGCTGGGGTCAAGATAAACACTCAGCAGGATGTGGAACAGCCGTTTCCTGTATCCGGGCTCCTTCCCGTGAGAATTGACCTGGCAGTAGTTCTCAGCCGCGCCAAAGTCCTTGAGCTTGTGGACCAGTATACGCAGAGCTTTGTCATGGTCTTCCAGCTGAGGACAGGGTAGTGGGACATCGTGTGAGATATACATACATGGGACAACATAAGAAGCAGACTCTAAAAAATAGAAATTGGAATTTTTCCCCCCCATTCACATGCCGGATTTTTCCTATTTTTAAAATTTAAAAGGTCAGTTGTCATTGAATGTCCTGGCAACAGCAGAAGCGCGCAGAGCATGCCAATGCTCGATTTTTCAGATGTTGAGTTAAACCTGCTGTCTGTCTTTGGTGATATTGATCAAATGTTATAGCAGTACTTGGTAAAAACAGACCTAAACTTCATTAAAAAAACAAAGAATAGAAACAATCCACTATGCTGTCAGGAAAAAAATGCCAGTTTTCTGTTTTTTCCTGTAGTGTTGGTGCAGTAAACACTAACCAAAGCACCAAAATGTTGTTTTTAAATATGGCCTTCTTTTCAGAGTACTTAATATTACTCATGTGAAAGGAAAAGCATAAAGACTCAAAAGACTAGATTTTTTACACAATCAAAACGGGGTACTTTTTTTTATTGTCAGTATATTCATCAAGACAGACAAGGACAAAAAAACAACCCAACATCAACTGCTGCTCTTTTTCCCTCATATAATCTTCAAGTAGACTGACCTTGCCATACAGGATAGCACACTCGGCATGCATGTCTTTCTCTTTGGCTTTTCCCAAGATGAGTTGAACCCTGTATAAACTGGACATCTGTAGCATGTGACGAAGTTTGGACCTGTCAACAACACAAATGTTACTGATGTTGTTACTGATGTTGTTGTTGTTCTAGTTGTTAATGTTGTTAATGTTATTGAGGTGCAGCTAACGCTAGTCCGTATGCCAACTGCCACATTTAGTCAGACACAAAACGTCACCCAGTGGTTCAGATGTACTAAGCTCAAAATATTTTTAATAGTTTTGGGTTTTTTTAAATTGCGGTTTATTTCTCTGTTGTATCAGTTGTATGTGCTCAAGAAATAGTTTGTTGAAATTCAAATTTTAAATGTTGGGGAAAAAAAACAAGAAAATATATACAAAATTTGGAGACAATTTTCTAAAGAATGAAATGGCTATATCTCTCTCCTGAAAAGTATTGCTTTCTAGAATTAGAATAGTTCAACAGCTTGCCGGCAGAATGAAGGGCTTTGTAGCCAAATCAGTTATCTCCAATATTCAAACTTCCAGTCTTCTTCCTTTAAATCTGTGAGTCATCAGCAGAATCACAAAACTACGGATGATACCATAACGATCAATAATAAACAGCATTTGTATAGCTCAAACAACGTCAAGCTCTTTGCGTTTTAGATCCTGTATTATTACCTTAGCAGATCTGAAAGCATTCTGAAATAATCTCAACTTCCTGAAGAGCATAGAGTAACAGTGCAAGCAGCCGCTTTATAGGCCGTAAATACAAACATACTGACAAGATCTTCCACTGTCTATAGCCAGAAAATTAAAGTAAAGTGCCTTTCCCTTGGATACAACATCTGGCCTGAGCCTCATACCCTCAAACCCCGAATCCCATAACCTCATAATTATGAGTCCAGTAGCCTAACCACTAGACTATTGATGCCACAACACAATGCTTAACGCAGGACTCACCTTGCGATGTCCAGCTCTTCTTTCTTGACACTGTTTCCTTCCATCAGTCTGAGCACTGCCTCCAGGTACAGCACAGCCAGGTGGGTGTGGTACTTTTCTTTCTGGAAAATAAACGCTCATCCATGGGCACATAGGAAAACATAGCAGGGAATAAACAAACATCTATAGGCACAGAGGAGAACACAACAACAGGAAATGGATACACTTCTATAGGTATGTTGGAGAACAGCAGATAGCAGACACATCTCCGCAGGCACATTGGAGAATGTGGCAAAAAATAGGAACACATACAGAGGTTTCAATGGTGTACATAGTGGTAAACAGATACACATCCATGGGTACATTGCAGAAAACAGCAAAAAATAAAAATTAATCCATAGACACGTTAAGTCAAAGCACAAGTGCGTAAATGAGTGGAAATAATTACAGTTACATCCCTGACCAACATATGAATCTACACACATTTATGCATCCACAGTCATGACCACCTATCACATTCACCGACAATTTACTCTGCATTTCACTAATTTCTCCTTGTTAAGACTTTAAAAAAAACAAAAACATCCTTCTGATTTAATGATGAGAGAAGACACAAAGTTAGCCCATAATACTTTTGTATTGTTTAAAGTGAAACTTGACTCATTATTCTTGAGGGCAGCCAGATCTAGGGACAAAAGCGTAGGAACAAAAGCAAAATTGGCCTATTTCTTCCCGTAACAAAGTCAAACCATAACACTGTTGACAAATTTCTTTTGGTTTGTAGATACCTCAAGCCGACGCTGGAAAACCAAGAATTCCAGATAGGTGATGACTGCCCGAGGGAAGCGATGTAAGTAGTCTACAACTGTCTCTGGTCTCAGACGCTCAGACTGGGCCTCACTGGCTGGACGTTCTGTAAATATCTAGAGACAGTAATAGTATAATGAAAATAATAATCATAATTAATATAATATTTACTATTATAAGATGAATGAAAATAATAGTAATAATTTTCAAAAGCCTAATATTGATTATATTAATAAGTAAAACAATAGGAATAGCAATGATAATAATGGAGGAGGAGGATAAGGAGAACAAGGAGGAGGAAGAAGAAAATAAATAGAAGAAGAAGAAGATTCATCCTCATCATCACACTTCATACGGTATGGATGGTGGGCTGCTGAAACCCTGCCCAGAGGAAAAGATTATCCAACTGGAAAGAAAAGATGCAGGACCTACTGACGACTCAATCACGATCACTAAGAAGTTACCTATAGGAAGTTACGTACACAAAAAGATGACATCAAGCATAGGTCTTACCCGCACTCCCAACTCTTCATCTTTCTCCAGCACCCAGTCCACGTACTTCCACAGCAGCTCATGGTCTGTCAGGCTACACAGCACAAGCGTTGTCACAAGGGATCATGGAGGAGAAGAGGGGGTGGAGGGGTAGAAAGGAAGGATGAATCTCTCTTTATGATTTGCATTTGGGCTGTACAGTATTATCCGCTCTGTACCTCTAAATCAAGTGCCCGTCACAAGAAGTCAAAAGAAAAACTAATTCTAATGTGGATAAGCTTTTATGCCAAATCCAGTGGTACTCACAGACCAAAAATTAAAAATCCTCTTCTAGGTCAGAATGGAAGATTATTATATCACATTTATAATTTCAATATATAAATATTCCTCTTGGTTGCACAACTGAGAAGCCAATTTTTAAAATAAGATGATGACAACACAAAATTTTCCAAAACAAATTAAAGATTGTGGGCTCAAAGGCTATTCAAGTAGAACAACTTCTCCTTGACCATTTCCGTAATGCATATTCCCTAAGTCTAATTTTCCAGGTCTGAACTAAAATAATAATACACAAAGAGAAAAATTGTAAAAATACTTGTTGACTGTACGTGAGCGAGTGCCTGTCTCGCAAAAATTTATCTTAGCACTAAATGATAAGCACTTTCTGTTTCTTACTACTGCTACAATATATCTCACTCTCATTTTCCTTGGAAAAGAGAGAACCTTCTTTTGTGCTTGACACATTACTGTAGGGGATTCGCTGGAAAATGAGTGTCCGTTTTAGTATGAGTGTCCATCCACACAGAACTGAACAGTTGCAAATTTTAGTAAAAGATGTTTTTTCTTTGTATGTCATCAAATTTGTTCGAAATAGAATATTTAATAGGCAATATGAAGCAAAATCCTTTCATTATGATGTTTAGAAAATGTATAATTTTTCAAAATTTCATAAAACATTGTGTCTGATGGAAATTGAGCTCTCTGTCTATTTTAAACAAAATCTCAAAATAACCTTCAGCACTTTCAAATGGGTAAATTCTGAGCCGCTCAAATTTAATTTAGTAGTAATCCCATTAACTCTTTAAACCCGGAGTTTTTTCCCCACTGTTTCCCGGAGTTTTTTCTACAGTCACCTAAACCTGGTACCCTATGTCCCATTAGAACCCCAAAAGCTTGCCTCCAACTTCTAAATGGCAGAAACAAAGGCTAAGTCATTACTAAAAAACTTGGTTCGGGAATAGTTCTGAAAAACAAGCAAAAACTAGCACTAAATGAACAAAAGTCGTCACTAGTATCGACACCGTCCGATGGGGATCAGGGTTATTACCGCCGGACACGCCCAGCATCGGTTCTACCGAGGGCGGTGTCAGTACCGACACCTGGCCTCCAGTACCGGCTCTGGGAAGGAGACGACACCAACGGTTATACCGGCTCTGAGAAGGAGCCGACGCGACGGTTGTTTTTTTCTTACCGGGCCACGGGAAGTGTGCAGTGTGTAGGCCTAGGCCTAGCAGCTGGGGCGTCAGATGCACACAACGCAGCGGGTGACCTTGATACAGGACTTCAGATTCAAAATTGACAATCAAAAACGAAGTTTGCTTAAATTTATAATATGGCTTCAAATCAGGTTCCACGCGAGCAACTTTGCTTACTTTGATACGCTGATTCCGAAAATGAAATCAATTTTTAGCAGCGATAACTATTTTTAAAACTCTGTTTGCAAAATTTAATCCCATGCGGCGGCAAACTTCAAAGGTATTTTGCGTCACAGTTCGCCTCACCAATTCTGACTGGTGTGTGTGTGTCGGGGGGGAGCGGGGGTGCGGGCGGGGCTGATCGTGGCGTTAGACGCAAGACGCGAAGTCTGTGACGTCACCTACTGGTGTCACTCCCAGTACCGGTACCGGTGCCGAGAAAGTACCGAGACTGGATTTCGCCGGTACCGCCCACCACTATCGGATGGGGTTTAAAGAGTTAAGGCACACCAAACTCACCTGGAAAGAAACTCCACCACAAACTCCAGACCAGGGAATGTTGGATCTGGACTGTCAGAATCTGCCAATCTGAGGAAACACGTACATCACACTCCTTAAGATTTACATTACTTCTCTCTTCACATTAACACTAAAATCTCGCATATTTCAGAGACGTTACCTAATAATTAACATCATCCTAAACAAAAATGAGGAATATTGATATTTAAATGAAATATGCACACAAATTTCCTCAGGGGCATCTAAACTGCTTAAACTTCAAATCTCATAAACTGCTTCAAATTTCATATAAATAATTATAAGCACTCACATCTACAAATAGGACGTGCAAAAATAATGAAAAGATCCATTTAAAAAGCAAACAGACCTTCTTCAACTTTGTCATCACATTCACCAAACTTTTACATACAAGAAGAATCTGCCCCAGGAAAGCAGGTTATAATGAACAAAAAAAAGCAGTTAAAATAAAAGTTTTGAAATATGTAACAGAGAACTGACCTGGTCCAGACAGCAAGGGCTTTGTCGTTCTCGGCATGTCTCTGGTACAACAGTCCTAGAGCATGCAGCCTCCCGTGTCTCTCCAGCCACTCTACACAGTCGTCCAAATCACAGCCAGTATCTACGGAGATGAGTTCACACAGGCGCTCTGGAGCCGATTCCGCATACAGTTTCAGTAATGCCACATCGACTTCCTGCATAGAACAAAAACGTGCATATTTAGAATTGGGTTACTATCTGAAGGAAAGCTGTCACAAAGAAGTTTTTAGTTCATAATTATTTTTTTTTTAATGAAGCCTCACATGACTTAACAACCTACCACTTCAGTTTCAGGATGCCTGTTAGGCAATTAAGTCCTTAAGTTGTGTCCATCCCATCAGTTTATCAAGTCATTTGAAGCAGAGGAAAAAATTAAAGTGAGGTACTCTCCCCTTAGATATAATATACCATTTGTTAGAGCCAAGGATTGACCTGATGTCAATATGACTGAAAGTCTGACACCTTAACTAGACAAAAAGACTAGAAAACACCTGTGAAAAATATCGGCCACAAGAAACAAAAGAAAGAGGCACAACAATAGGAAAAGTAAAATAAAGGAAGAAAAGACAAGGGGCAATGAAAAGCAATGGTGAAATCGTCCAGCTCCCAGAAGACCAAATCAAAAGGGGACGTTTCGTTTCACGAACCTGCTTTGATGATGGCCACACCAGAGATCGGTTGAAGTCAAACACCCTCTATAGCATTCCTTGCACATTGACCTACCATCACATCATAGAGCAATGTAAATGTGTCTGCAGACTACAAAATTATTTTTTTTAAATCATAAAGACCAAAATCAGGAAATAAATGAAATGAGGAAAGTTTGGGGGGAGGGGGTTCAATTTACATAGGATGATAACAAATGACTTAGGCTACTATAACAGTACATCGATGATTTGTGGTCTTTGTTTATTTCGAAAAGACTCTCTTGTCTACATAACAAGAAATTTTTAAAAAATGCCAACATCACAAATTAAACGACAAAGCAATCCTCACCCTTTTGTAGCCGTGTGCTAAATTTGTGCCCCTGATGTCCTCTAAAAATGTTCGAAGAAATTCTTTGTAAGCCGCCTTGACTTTCTCGTCAGAGCGGGATAGTTGGTTGATATCGGCAATCTCGTGCAGAGGCGGCACTGAGCGAGTGAAATTGATGCTCTTGGGTAAGACATGAGGGTACAGGCTGATGATCTGATCAAGAAACATAAACCAGAGAAATTAGAAGAATCGAAAATCCTATTATATTATGCAGTCATAAATCTCACATAAGATTACCCAAAATGAAATCAGTCAAAGAAAACAGTATTCACTTCAATACTGTTTATCAGCGATATGTCGATTGCCTATTTATTATCATACATTTGAAGTTGAAAGCAGAGTGTTAATTGAAAATACAATCAAGCCCATCCAAGGTGACCACCCATTGACAAGAAGAAAAATGGTCATCTTAGGACAGTGTCACAATACTGATTATAGAAAAAGTGCAAGTACGGAAGTGGGAGCGGTCGTTTGTAGTACAGGTGATTGTCTTGACCAGGTGGTCACTAGAGCAGGATCAACTGGGTTTTTTTTTTGCATTCAAAAACTTTTTAGCTAGCTGATTTCATTTGTACAAAAACATATAAAACCAAAGGAGAAAAACTGTTTAACTTCATCAATTCTATAAAATGGTACACAAAAATGAAGACAAAACTAGATCCTCCTTAAACAACTTGCAGTATGTCCTTTACTGCAACACCTACCTCTCTGACATCAATACCACTGTCTCGGAACAACTGTCCTGCTTCCTCAAAGTGCTGTTGGCAAAACTCAATGAAAGCAGCTTGCTGTTGAATTCTTTTGAACATCTGAAAATAAAATGAAAAAATTAAAACCTTCGTTAGTAGAAAGTCAATTTGATTTATGCAGTGAAACAAGTTATAAATTTCTCCATGAAATACAGCAAAGCTATAATTAGAGCAAAAAAAGAAATTATTACCCCTGAATTGGTCCTCATAGTGAGATTCACTATACAAAGACAAAGATGAATTCAATCTATGTCTTTAAGCTAAATTCAAATTGTATACACCCTATTGCTAATCATCTGCGTATAGAACTTATTTTTTATAGCTCACCTTTACAAACTTGTCTCGTGTCATCCCGGTCTTGTTGGCATTTTTTGCTAACTCTAAAGCTTCGTTGACTCGTTTGTCTGCTAGGAGGGCTTGAATCTGAGGAGAAAAATATTAAAGTATGAGAAAAAGTACACTGTTCTGAAGCTGTCTCCTTACTTCATGTACAGGACAGAGTCAAAGTAATCACTGGGATTTATTCAGTACAATTTATAAAAAGCAACTATGAAAGCAATAAGTTGAAACATACAAAAGCTAGTGGTTGGAGACATCATTGCCAAAGTCCTCCATGAGTCCAAGAGCTAGGGCTGACAACATTCACATACTACTGATAATAGCCTGATCAAGGTATCATAAAGAGCAATCTCTCCACAGCTGAGATCAGAAAAATTCCTACCCACATTTGAATTCACTATTCCATTATCAAAAGAAAAATGTTCAGGCAGTATCTGTAGAAACCTCATGTCTTGTGAAGGTGTCACATATCCCTCATAAAGGGAGTGCATGCAACAAAATGCAGGACAGCATGACCACCAAATCTACAATCAAATCTAACATCCTTTGTGCTCACATTTTATTGAACTGTCAGTATAAGATTGTGTATTTTACTCTACAAAAGATCTAACAGTTCATTTCCTCGATGCTTTTATTTTACTTCACAGAAAGATACAGCATTTTTAGAGTTTTTCATGTGCAGGCCTTTAAACCATCTATTGATAAGGTTCACAAAGACTGATTTTATCATTTTCTAAAAAGTTCTACCTTCTTTATAACAAACTTTCAGCACCCACAACATCTTTTCACACCTGTTTTTCAAAAGGAATTGGAACCAGAGAGTAGATCTCCCGACTGGAAGCTACAAAGATGCGTCCATCAAAGTCGCCAAGAACAACTCCTCCTTGAAAAGGGATGGCTTGTTTTTGTTGTTGATCCAAAATGCTAAAGAAAAAAAAAAGAAATAAGAACAAGATTTTAAAAAAAACATTCTTTAGAAAATAGCATAGAAGATCCAGTTGGAAACTGAACTCTTGAATCTGAACTGAGAAGGGTCAAGATAACTCCTATCACCCACAAAGACCACACAGTCAGATGTATTTGATCCATGAGTCACACTACATTTTTTTTTATCACAACTTCCTTTCAAATTTTTAATTTTTGTCACCAAACTATTTCTGGTTCCTTTCCTCTCCCCTCCCCCTCCACCCTTTTAGCAAGGCTAAAATGTTTTAATAATCTGGAAACATTGTCAGGAAAATAAATAACATGCTGCAATGAGCAACTGAGACATAAAACTGATGCTCAACCAAAGACACAACACATAATTTAAGGCAAAAAAATTTTTTACTTACAAAAAATCTCTACACTGAAAATGCAAAGATGGTATTATCTCGTGCCTGACCAAAAGGACTTTCCTCTGCTTTGTTGCGGAAAATATATGAGTAAAATGATTATTCCCCATAAAAGGAACAGGCAAAGCATACTTAAAGCATTTCTGTTTTACTTTGTTTGTTTTCTCCCTGTTATTACAGCCAAAAAGACATGATAAGCCATTTCAAAGGTGGGTCTTTTCGTCCAATTGTTAAAGAAAAAAAAAGAAAGAAGAAAAAAGAAGGCAGAGAGGAAATACTAAAAAAAAAAATCACACACCCAAATTAGAGAGTACATGTTCATGAGTCTCTCTTCAACAAAAAAAGGGCGGTACATCAAGCTGGTGCACAACGGAGATATTTGTATGTATAGTATAAGGTTTTACGGCGCTCGCAACTGCTAAGGTCATATGAGCGCGCGAAACACAAGTTGTTCACCTCTGCGAAAGTTCACTTCACGACTGGCTAACTAATTTACTTTAAAATGCTAAAAAGTTAAAATATTCAAATTCGGTGTAAATACATTTGTGATCTAAAACAACTTTTAAGTAACAATAAAAATTTTAAATAATATCAAACCATAAAGGCCAATGGCCTTTATAAAATTTAAAATTCTGCTGGGAACAACGACGGAAAAAATATCCTGCAATTTCTTGCATTTATAATATTTCCTTCGGATCTCTCCAAAGTCTAGACATTCTGTTAAAATGTGTCTAATGGTAAAATCTGTGTCGCATCCGACACAGAACGGCTTCTCATCTCCCTGTAGGAGGTATTTGTGGGTCAGGGCCGTGTGTCCGATGCGTAATCGAGTAAAAATGACTTCGGAGATATTTATTACCCTTGAAGGGATGGAGTGGGGTGGGGTGGGGTGAGGTAGGGACAGCTGCTGCTTAGAGTTTAGACCTATTGACCTCTATATCCTATTTCATACCAATCAAATGTATCAACATCCAGTGGAGCAAATCCAGTAATCATTCAGGTACCCAGTGGATCCAAGACGGCTCCAAGGGCTAAAATCTTCAAGAATAAAAGAAAACTTTAACAATGCTACCACGGAAAATGCACAAACAAACCTCACCTGTGAACTGTGATGAACTCATCGTTCATGGCCAGAATATAAGGATGGACATAGCTAACCGATGTAAGCCCGTCTGACCATTGCATGGGTGGACGTTGGGAGACGCCGGCGGAGGTAGCAAAAATGCCCAGAGCACTAGGACCACTGAGCAGGAACTCTTCCTGTTGTCATGGACATAGAAAAATTTCATCATAGAATCGCACATCAAGGGGTTCAAAATGAAAGTCATAAAACCTAAAGACTAATTAGCAAAACAACATCATATCAAAGGGTTTGAGTTTTGAGATAGAGTGAAAAGAAGTTCATTGACATGATAACAGCCAGTAAGTGCATGGGAAAAGCCAGACAAATAGACAAAAAGAGAGAAAGAAAAGAAATAGGACCTGAAAGCTTTGTCCTCCAACCACCCACATTATATTAAAGGAAACCGTCACAGAGTGGTCTGTCCTGGAAAATTTATTTAATAGAAGAAAGATAATCTGTCTAAATTGAAATCTGTGGGGCCACTGGATTTGCTTGGATTTAGTCGAGTTTTCAGATTAGACAGGTTGCTCAAACAGAATAAGAAAAAAAATCAGAGATTTTACTTCCTTTCAGTTTACTGCTGTTTTCGGATTAAACATGTCTGGTTTAAGCGGACTCCAATGTATCTTACTGAAAAAGTTACTTGACTAACGAGAGCTCCTTTATTACAAACAAACAAAAAATTATTGCAAAAGGCAGAAGGCAACATCTTCACTAAACAAACAGATGTTCATTCTTTGGACGATGATATCAGGAACTCACTTTACTAATTCTTTTAATGATGGGCTTGATCTGATCCGAGTCAATGGGGAAAAGGTCGGTGAACTGGCTGTTATCCGTGTCCACCACACAGTACTGGGAGCTCAGCGCTGCACACACAAACTTGCCATCGACACCCTAAGGTCAGTGAAAAAGACAAAGTTTATTAACCAATAGAGAATGTTTATTTCTAAGAAAATCTAACACTTATTCATTACAAACAAAAAAGCACGTTCATTTCATTCCTTTTATTCTAAACCCTCCGGCATTTCTGCCTGAAAGCTTTTTATCCCAAAAGGAATCAACTCATTGGTATTGTCTCCCCCCCCACCATGCAAGATGAACCAAGGCTCTTAAGCCACCAAGTAACAAGGTGTTCATGACATTTTTACGGTTCCCTTTTCCTTCTGTTTTGATGAGCAACTAAATTAGAACAATTTAGCCTAAACAAGGTGGCTCTACAACTTTCAACTGTCAAATTGTTGACTTGTGCAATGCCTATATATAATCATCCAGTTGTTCATTCTAACCTGAGAGCAGCTAGAGCTAGAGTTTTCTCAATTTTTGTTTTACACAGAAAAAATATAATTGCCCATCACCACACAGCAAGTCAGAAACCTTACCACAGCCAATGCCTGGTCTGGCAGTGAGATGTCTCGTAGGTGCATCAGTCTGTCCTCTGTCACTGTGTACAACTGGATCAACTTTCGCTTCAAGGCTACACAGATCTGGAGTAAACAAAAACAAAAATATTTTGTTGAATACAGGGAGCCGACAAAATGTGAGATGTATGACTGAAAGGGAGGTGGATCAAAAGGTGAACAAGGAGCACTCATTTTTTTCATTGTAATTTTGCTGTTTTAAAAATTCTATTTGATTCATTGCATAAAGGTGGAAGTGAGTATATACCACAAAACAAAAACTTTACATCATAAGTGAAAGACATTTAACCCATTGCACCCGCACTACGAGTATAGCTGCCATGCGCTTCCATCCACCGACCTACAACAATAGTCGTAGTAGCAAAATACCAGTCCACAAAATCGAGTCCGAACCAATTATCCAGGTTTCTATTGAATATAATAGATCGCTTGTAGCTTGTAAAAACATTTGCTATCTTGTTTTGATCCAGATTTTTCACCAAGTACGAGTCAATTTTGTCGTTTTGCCACCAAAAATCATTGCAAGAAAGTGAAACTGAAATCTTCAAGGACAAGAAGAAAAAAAACAACTACAAAAAACAACAGTGCCACAGCTACGTTTGTGTTTGTTAAAATACATGAACCATGTTTTTAGTTTTGTTTTAGACATAAGCGGCAAAGAAAGTTAAAGTAGACGTTAATATAGAAAAACAAGGCGATCGGATTGATTTTAGCGCCTTGAAAATTCGAAGAAAAGCTAGATCTAGACCACAGATTTACTATAAGTTGCTATGGGTAAATCGAGTTCCGAAGAGTCGCAGTTGGATGAAGAATAAATTGTTTTCTCTCTTTTTTCCTTCCCCTTTCTCTCTAATAATATTAAAAGAACATTTTAAGTAATATCTAAGTTTAAATAGTCTGGGCACAATGGGCGTCTAAGGCTAGTGTGTCGAGTTCAGACCGATTTTTTCCCCCGGCTCGCAGCAAGCCAGGTGGACACAAGGGTAGTGTCTGCGGCAACGCAGGGTGAATTGGGTTAAGCGTATGTTATATTCCACATGGCTTTACACAACCCATGCCCAAAACCCAACATACTCAATTAATTTTATTTATTTATTTTAATATCTGTTCTCACCTCCACGCTGAAAGGGTTGGTGCGGACAGGATTATCATTAATGCAGAAACAGGTAACACTTTTGATCTTGGCTCCTGTGACGATTGGCTGTGTAATGAAAAAAAACAAAAACAAAGCAAAACATAATTGAGGCATCATAGGCAATTAAGATAATATTTGAGAAAGTGTGGTGAAATCAAGAGCTTGTCAAAATAATAAAAGTCTTTAAACTGGCATTTTTCGGCAGGTTTTTGAATTTTTATCAAATTTTTGTTTTTTGGCTCAAAACCTTTCATGCCATTTAAAGAACACATGTCCGTGTGGATTTTGCTGAAAAAGGTTGACTAAAAGCATTAAAAAATGTAAATTTTCAGTTTTCACGGACTCTCAAGCTAAAGAAGTAACTCAACTTTGACGACCATTTTCTCGTTAATTTTACCTCTGAAAATAGGCGACCCCCACCTCCTTCAATCGCCAATATCTTAACATGCATCGAAAATAAAAGGATATTTTTTTCATTAAAAGCAAGGCAAATGGACAGGCTTTAAGATGATACCAATAACTCAATAAGCACCAAAATTGATGAGCGCTTGAGTCCACCGTGTCACAACACATAAGAGTAATAGGATACTTTGACCCTGTCTGTCACAGCGAACGTGGCCTATGCGGATTACACTCCAGTGGAAAGACAGAAAAACACCACCAAAAAAATGTTAAAAGATCTTACTCTTATTAAAATCAAACTCAAGTAGTCTGCAAGCAAGGCAAAGAGCCTGACCATTATACGAGATGGTATTGGTACCCAGAAATGAGACAGTAATGTCTACTAGAGGCTATGCAAAGACGCAATTCATGAGCCACTATTCATCAATCTCTACCCTATAAAAAACTGGCATTTTGTCCCGATTGAATATACTGCCTGCATGACATCAACTGAACTTGACACGCCAGGCTTTTCCCAAACCACATAAATGGCACAGAATCAACATGTGAGTGCCTCTCCATGGTGAACTTTTAAATTTTCACCCTACTAAAAGAGTGAATTCAATGCCTCAACCTGACTACTTTTGCTTGTATTAGCACCGCATGCACTCCTACGAATATCATGGTGATATATACTTGGCAGTCAACTCGCAGGAGCACTCAGGCGCCTAGGTTCAATAGAATAGTAGGCACAGAGCTTAAATAAATAGTTCAGGTTCATCAACCCAAAGGCACAACTGGCATTATTTGTTGAGTCAATTTTTCTTACCCCAACTCTCGCACACAAGTACAGAAAATGATTTATAACTCTGAAAAAGTCAAGCTGAAAACTTAACGAGCTCATTGTGGGTGCATGGCTGCCAAAGGGGAATAACTGAAACAGGCAAAAAAGCTGCGTAAGCCGCTTACCTCCAGGTCAAACATATTAAGTAAAGTCAGTGTGTTGTCACACAGCACCATGATTCTGTTCAGGGCAGATGCAGCTCGTAATTGAGCAATTGGCTTTTTCTGTTGAAGAAAGAAGAAGTTGTATTCATTTTAATTTTAAAACATATAACCCGAGGGGAGGGGAGGGGGGAGCGGTGTTTGCTTCCACCTTCAACAACTACCAACTTACTCCCTCTCTCCGACCTTTTCTCTAATTTAAATTTATCACCCCCTGGGGCGGTGCTACAGACTAAAGTGTCTTTAGGCCATTCCCAATGGGGGGAAATTAATATGTGTGCATGCCTGGTGAAAGGGACCACAAAACGCATTTGCTCGAACCGAGATATCAGGCTTCAAAGGTCAAAAAATAGAATTTTTGACAAAAACTAAGTTCCATTAAAAATGGATTCTTTAACCATTAATATATCGATATTTACAAGGACTTGAGTTTTTTGTACTTAAAAATATATTTTTAAAGACGATTTTTAACACGATGTAAATAGCATAATCTCCCAAAAATGTGGGAGAAAATTAGCTTTCCGAGTAAACTCTGCGGATGGTTTCTCTTGTTGATTCATTAAGTCGACCCAATCACATTGCAATGCAAACATTAACATTTAGGTCATTCTCTCCTCTCTCTAGTGGCGGGTAGTGCGCATGAATATCTAGAACATGTAAACAAAGCGAAGCATTGCGCATCCATACCCTTTCGCCTTTTTGGAGAGCAAACTTGTATCGCATTCTTCTGCCCTGCGCAAACCTAGATCTATTTTTTGAAAACTCTTGCTCAAGGTGGTAGTGAATTTGTTTTGAAGATGTAATAAAAACACTTTGAAGCTGTTCTTTCATCTTAAATGCTTTTTACAGTTGGTTTGTGAGTAGCGAATGTGTTGTCAGGACGTCTCGAAGTGTAGATCTATTTGAAGCAGAAATAAAAGGGAAACTTTAAAGCCGTTTTTCTTAAAACTTTGTTTCCGTACTCTGCTTTACAAAATCACCCAAATCTCAAACATTACTGAAGATATCTTTAAAATTGAAAAAGTATATTGTTCAGAAATGATCTCTGTACATGAAAAAGCAAAAAACCAGGATTCTTCAATATGTGTCATCTGGTCTCTTGCTCAAGGCATGCCCACATATGTTCTTATGCACAGTAGAATTGTAAATCGGCTAATTCATCAATGTCATTCTCAATACTATGCTTGAACTGCAACAGGGAACTGGTGCTTTTTCCTTCGTAATCCTTACTATCTTCATTTTTCCTCAACTTCTTTTGTATATTTGTCACACTCTTGTGACCCACTATTTCCGGGGTGCCTTGATAGTCGAAGCAGACTTTGTGCTGTTGAAGCTAGAGAGGTGAGCAGAGTAAGCCTGATTCCCTGTAAGGACTTCTCTGTTGACATCCACCCCTTAGCGCTCATATGACCTTATGCAGTTGCGAGGGCCGTAAAACCTCTACTAAAACTAAACTACCTTTAAATTTAGGTACAATATACATTATATCATGTATAAACTTTAATTCATCTTGTGTAACTTCTCACCCTCTTTTAACAAATCAGGGAAGGAGATGAAAGCATGCAAAGTGTTAAAATGATAGAAAGCAAACAATGGCAACCACAGACATGTTTTGAACATAGTTGCACCTGGAAGCTCTCATTGAAAGATATAAGGAGCAAAGATAACAAAAAGGCAGGTCTAACCTCACAATTTCAATCCTTTTCACAACAGACAAAGTGGGCATAAAAGTTGGTCAAGATGAATAATATGAGAATGAAAACAAAAGCAAGCCAAATAGTATCAAGTCACCTACCACAACCAAGTATTTGTGGCCTTGTTTCTCTGAGACAAAGGTTACTCTTCCATTTGGCTGTGTCTTTTCTTCTATACTGTAATGCACCACAAAGCTGAAAAAAACAATATCACAAACAATTAGTCCCTGCACAGATTTTGCAGTGCTGGCAACACAGACGGAAGTGTTAATCTTTTCTGTTTTTGTCATCTACATATCAACAATGTTTTGGCAGTAACCTGTTTCTTGAAAATTAATGTTTCAACAAGCGAAAGAATGGTTTTAGTTTTAGTTTACTTTTAGTAAGAGTTTTACTGCACTTGCAACACAATCAGGTCATATAAGTGCTGAAGATCAGAGGTGCTGCCAGAGTGTAACATACAAACAAAAGGAGGAGAGATAAGGGAAATAGATGTCCAAAGGAAAGAAGGATCAAACCACACCAGAGCAACCACCAACCACTCACAAAAAATATTTCTGATTTAAATAATTGAGTAGACACAAGTCAACCCACAGTACTATGACAAAAAAAAGAGTTAAAATATTTCTTCTGTAACGGTCAGAGCAATTATATTATAATAATATCAGTGGGTTGTCATTTTATCCTGCTCAAGTTCTCCCTCTTGGAAATATATTTATCATTCATATGCATACTCCCTACCTGTTTGTCTCATACATTATAACAATGATGACACACACCAAAATAGCCTCATGGCATCTGTCTCAAATGTATCTCATGGGTTGAAAACGTTGATAATTCCGTATACAATGAGATTAAAAGCAGACATGGGAAAATGTAAGCAAGCATTATTACCAATTCCAGTTGTAAAAGTTAAGGGGTTTCATAGAAACTACAGCAAATGAGTCTTGAGCCTCATGAAAATGACAACATTCTGTGACTTAACTCCATTTTTGGATCGCCACCTCAGTGGGGGTTTTGGTTCCACATTTCAACAGATCACCACTTAAATGGCGTTTGGGAGGGTATGGATTTCATCAACCCCAAAATCTACTCTACATTTGATACGTATCTTCACTTTAACTGTGATTATCTGTCCAATAATGAATAGGGCGAGTGGTCACACAAACAAATCCATTAATATATGACTGAATTATAGCTGTTATGAGGTGACATCTTCAAATGGGTTGAGTTAACTTGTGGAATTCCTTGTGTACTGAAAGAATTAAATTAGATACTGATGGAATTGCTGTCCAATCCCAAATAATTGCACATGATGCATACTTTTTTTTATTTTTTTGGTAAGTGTTTCACAGCGCTCGCAACTGCATAAGGTCATATGAACGTGCGGGACACATTAAACATATTCAGTAGGAAGGAAATTTTGAAATTTGCCCGGATGGCAACCGAAGCCTACTCTTATTGATTTTAGACCACCAAGGGATCTTTAAAGCGCGCAACGAAATTTGTCACCCTTGTCCAATAAGGCTAGGTGTAGATCTTTCCTACCAGAAGATCAGGGATGCGGCTGAAAGACAGCAATAAGAAGGAGCCAAGGAGTAGCAGTAGAAAGGCTGCAGAAAGAGTCAGAAGCCCAGATGAGGGGGTGAGGGCAGAAAGTGGAGACAAAAGCAGATGACAGAACATTGCTAGAGAGCAGGAAAGCAGGTGAAAGGAGACAATGTTAGAGAAGAAAATTTTTCCGTCACTACTCGGATTCAAACCCGAGACCTTTGAATGAGAAGCAAACACCTTAACCTTTAAGGCCACGAGAACCCCTTGCATGCTTCTACCCAGGAGATTTATCTACTGTTTTTACTGGCAAATTTGACAACCTCTCCAGTTTCAAGTGAAAAAAAAATTACTATAAAAATAGCATGATGTAAATGACTACACAAAGAATGTACAAAAGTCTCTCAACCTTGAGGTCACCTAAACAACATTGAAAGTTTTCACAAAACTCAGTTCAATAGATGAAAATTTAATGCATTCCAAATGTCTCCAAAAGGAAAGTGTGTTGTAAAACTTGGATTTATATATGAATGAATTTGTTTAATGATAATTCAGTAAGCATTGAATGACCCTCAAGTAAAAACTAAAAAACACCCTTTGAACAATTTGGCTAAAATGCACGACACAATGTCTGCCAAATCCTAATTCATAGTGATTTATTCATTACAAATTTCTCCACATATGCAAAAAGGATCTATGGATTTTGAAATCTGTCATTTTTGCCAGAGGTATTATTTTGTTAGTGTTTGTTTTTGGTAAGTATTTTACAGTGCTTGCAACTGCATAAGGTCATGAGTGCGCTATTTGTTAAAGTAAAATTTTCCCAAAGTTTTGGCAAATGCTAAAAATTCTATTGTGGTCTCTCCCAGTGGCTAAGTGAGTAGTGAGTTTTGATTCAAGCAATGTCAAGCAAGTGTCGGTGACACTGGGATCAGATGGGTGGTCACTGGAGTGTGTCCTTGAGCAAGACACGACAACCCTAGCTCAAATTTCAGGGCGCTGCTTAGTGGCGACCGACAGTGGCATTGTTTGTAAACTGTTCTGTATTTGTGTAATAGTGTGTATTTATGTATGTATTTATGCATGTATGTATTTATGTATGTACGTATCTATAATCATGTATTTATGTATGTATGTTTGCCATTGTAAAACAAAGTGCCCTTCTGGGACAAATAAAAGTGTAATTTATTATCATTATATTATTATTTATTACAACTCAGACATTAAATTTTCTAGGACTTTCCAGCCCCTCAATTTGCAGTGATAATGAAATTCAAATCAAAGGAGTAACCAAGGGAATTAAAGGCTTGGTAGAAACAATCTCTGAGAGATCACAGAAAAAACCAACACAAAACTCTAGCTTGGACATGTGTTGTACATGTCTTCAAGTTTTGATTTCATGTTTTGCAAATAAATGCTCAATGTGGCCACCACCAACAGCATGGACAGCATCAAGCCTCCAAATTCCTCCAAAAATGCGCTTCAGGATGTCTCGGTCCACTGTGTTGATTGTAGCTGTTATTCGATCTTTCATGCCATCGATATTTGCTGCAAGTGGTAGACAATTAACTTTGTCTTTAACATGCCCATACATAAAAAATCACATACAGTGATGTTCGGGGATCTGGAAGGCCAACCGCAGAGAGAGAGGTCTTCAGCACCTCTCCTACCAGTCCATTGCTGAGACACGTTTTCACCCAGATAAGTTCGAACCCCGAGATGCCAATGGGGTGGTGCTCCATCTTGTTGAAGAATGAAGTCATTCAAATCTGCGTGCAGTAAAGTGAATAGCCACTTCTTGTGACAAAGTTTATGTTCCAGCAAATATATCAATGACATGAAAGATCGAATAGCAGATACAATCAACACAGTGGACCGATACATCCCGAAGCATATTTTTGGGAGGAATTTTCACATATATATATCGGCTTGATGTTGTCCGTGCTGCCGGTGGTGGCCACACTGAGCACCTCTGTAAAACATGAAATAAAAACATGGGGTATGTACAATACACGTGTCCAAGCTGGAGTTTTCTATTGGTCTTAGTTTTTGAAATATTGAGTGATGATTTGGGCGTGTGTATTCTTTTTGAAACACCCTGTACCATACCCATTCTGGACGAAAAGGTTAAAACGTACCAGTCACTTGTTCCAATGTACATATTTTTGCCACATACGTCCATACACTCAATCTGTGGACACAATCAAGCGGAGAAGATAACCATTGTAATACAAAAATCTCTCCAAAACCAAAAATGTTTTTAATAAATACATGTTGTACACAAAATACACGGAAACATAAAATCCTGTATACAGTGACCAGTAACTTTATGTACGATTTGTGTATGATTTGTGGGTGGGGCTTTTACAGGTTATGACGGATCACATGCTACCCTCAATAGCAGTCGAAAATTTGTTGTTAGCCTACCCTTTGGTCAATTTGGGTAAACATTCATTAGAGGGACTAACAAGAAAAAAGACAGGTGAATGGATTATGATGGCCCATCCACAATGTCAGAGGCCGATTTAGAATTTATGACAAAGCATCAGGTGAGTCTAGACCCAGACCTGGCAGCCTCATTCTTTAAAAAAAATTTAGTAGTAGAGGTTTTACGGCGCTCGCAACTGCATAAGGTCATATGAGCGCCAAGGGATGTATGTCAACAGAGAAGTCCTTACAGGCCTGACCCGCCGATCCCATCCAAAATGGGCACTCGGTAATACCCTCTATCCTACTCTGCTTCAAAGTGATAGCTCGTTATGGACTCCCGCTACTTTTGTGCGTTTCCAGTCGGGCAGTAGGCCTAACAATTGTACTTTTATCTAGATCTAGTAAGTCTAGTCACTCCAACTAGAAAAGACCAGATCCAAAAAACAATTACAGTCAATCCTGCCCTGACGGCCACCTCTATAAGACGGCCACCTGTACAAACGGCCACTTTCCATTTTCCCCCTTGCGTTTTTTCGATATAATTTTTAACTGTGTAAAACGCGCACCTGTCCAACGCGGCCGCGGCCACCATATTTTAACTCACAACCCCTGTCACACTAAGCAATTACACCTGTCTTAGACAGCCACCTTAGTGACTCTATTACGTTTTTTCATAAATTGTGCATTGGCCCCTGGCGTTGAAGGCGAACCGTCACAATTCAATCACCTGTCGTTGTTGTTAGGTAGTCCCTTCAACTGGTCATGTTGCGTGGGCCCCTCCCACTGTTGACCAATAGCTACCAATTTTCAACTGCTGGTGAGGTAAGCGTATGATTCCCCCATTACCTATAAGTCCCGCCCAGAACTCATACACAAATCGTAAGTGAGATGAGTGGTCACTGTTTACCCAGTCTGTAACAAAGTAGCAATGAACGTCAACATGAACTTGTGAAAGAAGCGTCGCTCGTTCTCTGAGTGGTGGCAACCCATGTGTTTGTTTTAACATGGCACTCGGTCTTCCTCGTCTGATACATTTCGTTTTATTGTCACCCTTGTGAAAAATCAGCAACAAAATAAAAATTACAAACAAAATACAAACCACCACCACCACCAACAACAAAAACAACAATGCGGCTACTTTCAATTGGGACCTCAGATGGGAATGGTTTGTTTTCTTCATCTTGATCAGTCCTGCCTAAAACGGCCACTGTCTTTAAATACAGCCCCTTTTCTCCTTGACAATGGGTGGCGTTCTTACACAGGTTTGACTGTATAATGCCAAGGCCAAGAAACTATAGTCTAGTCCTAATTAGTCTTGACAGTTTAGACCTTTAATGATTTTTTAAAAAATAATATAAACAGTAGATCTAGATCTAGTCTAGAGAATCTAGTAGGAGAGTAGATTCTAGGCCTAAATGCTGCCCACGGTTTTTGAGTAAGTAGATCTAGATCTTTGACAATTTTAAAATTATAACATGAAGCTGCAGTGAGCACCTAGCACTCCCTGTGATTGGCCCAAATATAGATGACGTACCTAGATGACGTATTTCCGCCATCTATTTTTGTCATCTTCCGGGTCTTCCCTCGCCAGTTGACTGAATCTCACCACCGTGGCGGGCTCGCTTTTCCACTAAAAGCGAGCGATGGGCTTTGTCAATAGATCTAGGTTTCATCGCTGACTGCTAGGCCTGTGTGCACACGCATGTGTGTGTGGTGTATGTGCTTGTGCGAGTGTTTACAGTGTGTGAGTGTGTGGGTGTGTGCGCACCTGCTTGTATGTGTGTGTATGTGTGTGCGCATATATATGCCTGAGAATGTGTGTGTGTGTGTATGTGTGCGTGCGTGAGTGTGAATGTGTGTGTGGGTGTACAACTTTGGGGAGAAGGTAAATTTATGTGCGAGAACTGCTGATTGTTTAAAAGATTATAAAACAAATGAATACCAAAAAACAACAACAACACAGCACCAAGATTTTGTCAACAGGCTAGATTTAGCGAGTCGTGGCGAGGGAAACCCAATATTCTTGGGGGGGATCCCGGAAGACGACGAAAATAGACGGCAGAAATACGTCATCTAATTTGGGCCAATCACAGAAGTGTGCTAGGTGCTCGCCGCAGCTTCGAATAGTAATCAATAGGCATCCTACTTAACTCATGATGAATGAAGCTTTTTATGTTGTAAACAAAAGAACAAATTTGTTACAGGAAAAATAGTTATTTTGTTTAAATTTAAGCAGCTTTTCAGCGGGAAGCATCCGGTCGCAGTTCAATATTAATCAACAAGCCACTCATCTATTTCTAGAGACACAACCTCTCGATTTAGAATATCTACCAACCCCAGTCTGCCCAGTCTAAGAAACAAGAATTTGAAGAAATCTACCTGTGTTTTCGCTTTGTCGGACATCAACTTCACTCGTTCTATAGCAGAAACGAGCTCAAAAGCCTTGATACTCATCGTGACTAGTTATTTCACTACGGCAATTGCACGAAAAAACAGTCTGCAAAATGTTTTGACCTAATGCAACAGAAACTTTAGGAACGCGAGTTTCGTTCCGGGTCTCCCTCCATGGTAGCAGCCATATTGAACTCACTGAGACATCTATCTCAGGCCACCTCCCACTTCAGTGTTGAGGGAGATCACTCAATTCTATTTCTTTGACAATGACCTATAATAATTGCCTGTAAAGGTGAGCTCGAGGAATCGCGTCTCCGGGGCAAACATAGAGGTTGGTGACACCATTGGTGCTAGCCTGAACTATTGCCACGCTTTGTTATAGAATCTACATGAACAAAATTTAATAACTTAATTATTTAATCAGGCTAACAGGGGCAGCTGTAGATTCAAACTATTATTATGGTCTGGGATAGACTAAGAACACTTGAACAGATGGGTGACGATGAATGAAAGATTCGACGGGCTAATAAGTTTTGTTGTTGTTTTTTTAAGCAGAGAAACAAGGTGATAAACAATGATCTGCCTTTGATCTGGCACCTTGCCGTCACTCAGTTAATGAATATGATAATTGTGCTGCTTTCTAGCCAATGAAGTGATCAATATTTATTCAGAGTTCTCTAATTTGTTTAATTCTGATGCCCCCCTCCCAAACTTCCCTCAATCATAAAAATCTCTAGTCATTCAAGATTAATGGGCATTTTTTGTGTCTCCTTAAGCAAAACAAATGAACAAGCTTTAAGACAATACCAACTAACTGTCTGTCTGTCTGTCTGTCTGTCTGTCTGTCTGTCTGTCTTC